ATCCTATGCACCATTATCACCAATTCGGGCTGCTTCTGCTCAGCGGCTTAGGATCAGGTATTTGGCACTCCTTTCTGTCTTGAAACCTCACAACATCCCTGGCGAACGTCAGAGAAGCACAAGGAAAGCTTACTGCGGCTACGTAATCTGCATCCATGACAGCTGCAAGGGATAGAACAAACTTGATGCCGGCGGCCAAATTGTCATGCTTCGACCACAAGGAGCGCTGCTGCTGTCGGGAAGGCCCAAAGCCCTCGAAGGTTTTATGCCAAAATCCCAGCTCCGCTCCGAGCCTCGGAGGTGGTCAGATCCCGTGTCAAGGCCTGAAACTGCCAACGCTGATAATCAAAGACCAGTTGCAATGGCAGCGGTTGCGGCAGCAACCGTAGGGGTTGTTGTAGCAGTAGTGTTGTTTCAAGAGCAGGCGGCATCCGCGTATTGGAAGGATAGACCCTACTGTAGCCCTAGCTCTGAGAAATACTCACATCCGCAGGAGCCGTCCTCGTCTGAGTGCTGCAGCTGCGCGAGGAGGTCTGCCACCTGTCGAAAACCACCGCGCCAAGGAAGTATCATTGAAAAGGCACACGGAATATCCGACAACTTCATCATGTCGTAGTTGGAAGTACTACCTGCAAGAAGCACACCTCAAAAAGAGTCACCTCATTTGCAGTCCTTTGCAGAAACCCCCACCTTGGCACTGAGGCGGGTGTCCAACTCGCCGACCATTGCAGCGGTTGCCGCCTGCAGCACTTCATTTACCAAGACGCACCCCTTGTTCATAGCCACGAAACGTGACAAAGACGTAGAGTCGTAGAGTATTATGGTCCTGATGCTGGAGAATGAACGGCAGTAGCTCAGCAGTACAGCTGTCTGTTGCACTAAGTTTGAGAGCACATATTCTGGATCTAAAGTCCCCAGCGCTTTGCTTCCAACAGTCCCTGCACCATTCTTGAACTACAAAACACTCGGGCAAACCTCCTCAGCAAGCCGTCGTTGCACAAAAGACACGAAGCTCTCTAAACTGCAGAGGTTACGAAATTCTCGACAGTTGTCCAGTTCTGGCAAGTCGGTCAGGTGGTTTTGAGCCGTTGGCTCAACAAGCACATGTGCAACACGGGAGTTCTTGGTACATTGGAGTCATGCGGAGACGCCTGCGAGTCATCCGCGACACGTTTCGTCGCAGTGATCGCCTATGCTGCGGGGCACATACGTTCACGAAAAATCCTTGATTGCTCGAAGGGTCCATGTCGGCTGTGAGGGGTTAGTCGCAATAATGAAGCAGAGGGTTCTGCGTCAACATTCCTGAGCGTATCTGTTGCGCATGTTGCCGCTGACAAACTACAATCAGTGCTGTGTCCAATCATAAGGCCGTCCGTCCCATTCTCTACGCAACACCATGGACCACATGTGCATCATCGAATGATCACAATATGATCACAAAACAGGCAGGGAAGCAAGATTGCAGCGAAACTAGGGAACAAACGGAGTTGCAGTAAAAGCTTGGGCCGCAATGCACACCCCGAGTGAAGCACGATCTCCACGTTCCTTGCCAGCTCGCCTTTTGCGACCTGCCCATGGGCTGGCCGCAGCCAAAACTACCATTGTGCTAGATGGAATGAAAGGGGTTGAAATGGCTGTCAGAAATAAGGATTTCATAAGCTAACCGGCAGGCAGTTGACACAACGACATTACAAAAACCAGCACAGACCAACGGAAGCTGCGCTGGATGCTACTCGGTGCCACTGCTGGCCTGGAGCTCAGCGATGCGGTCTTCGCATCCTGGCACCTTGGCAGGGGAGGCGGGGGCTTTTGGAAGAGAGACCGTGTCAAAACTCCAGCAAGCAAAGGGTTTTGTGGAGAAAGGTGATGCAAGTAGCTGACTCCGAACCTAAGTGGCTCTGCATGGCTGTACCGTTGATACGGTAGCAGTAGGTACCAGGTAAACTGAGGAATACTGACAACGGGTTGTTGAGCTGCAGCTTGCATAGTTCCCTGCTTAATCCCTGTTACATTATTGAGAATCCCCCAAGTCCTAGAGAATCCCCTCTCTATCTCCGATGCACTCTGGCCCACCTTGGTTCGCAGCTCTCTGAGAACACCATCGATACGGCCCTACCCAGCCGCGGGGATTGCGCATTAGGGCTTCAGAGCTCTATATTTCTTGTTTGGGGGAGTTCAGTGATCTGCAGACTTCTTCGCAGTACTGAGGGCGGTTTGTAAATTCGAGGTGAGAGGGCATATCGTGCTGAAAGAAGCACAAGCTGAACGCACTCTTGACAAACTTGGCATTCAATCAAAGGCGGCTGCTCTCAAGTCCCAAAGTATTCCAACGTCAGCAACAAACTATGCTATTGCAATCTGGAGAATACTGTAGTAGCAGGTGTCATGGGTTCCCACCCCTCTCTGGGATGAACCAATGCCAGACTTCCTTTCAGGTCCTCATTTAGGAAGCAGCCCTGCAAAGTGTTGAACTTGTTGAACAGTCACTTGGCTGTCCAAGATGCCCTCATCTCGAATGGGGGGCTTGCACTGTGCTTGCGCAGAGTTTGTGCGAGCATGCGCGCGCGTGCAGTTTGGCTCAAATATATATATATATATATACTCATAACCAGCACACTATTCGAGCCCTTGCGCCGCTTCTTGCACTGTGCTTGCGCGGAGCTTGAGTTCATCTACATTTTGACAAGTTATGTTGTACTAAGTTTCCGTTATCGTAGCCAGGCGTTCTCGTGCAAATCTCACATGTTCAGCTTTGCATGGTCAGCCACAAAACAAAGCGAAAGTGTCCAAGGACGCCCGCATGGCCCGTATGTTTGTCATTCTTGCAGTCGTTTCGAAGATAGCTATGACTCTGTTGATATTGTTGTGAAGACTTGTCTCATCGATACGGGTAACAATCAATGTGAAGCCATGGAAACGTTGCGCAGACCCATTACGAGGTACCTACACGAAATCCCATCAAGTTTACCCCCGATTCCCCCGAAATGGATTGTCCTAATTCGACAAAACCAAATTGGGAGCCAAAAGCATGGAGAATCGTTCCCACAGAACCCCGCAGAGTCCCAGTGTAAGCTACGGGAGAAACTCCAAATCTTAAGGAGCACCCGTACTTCATCTGATTTCCTGCCTGGAGCTGCAATTTGGCCTCCTCGAACTCCTCGAGCGTGACCAGGACCGGCTTCTTCGGCATCGCGCTAGAAAGCCCGCAATCTACAGAAGCCAAAGGCTACCTTTTTGAAGAGTCTTCCGCCTTTGCAAAAGAACTTCTGCAGCACCCTTGCAGGTAGCTTGGTAAGCCTGTTTCTGCCATCCATGGTTCTGCAATTAGACAAAAAAGACATCAAGATTATGTTGTTGTTGATGATGACCGCTGTCATGTGACATTGTCGTGACATGTCGTGACTCTACAGGCGACGGTTGTGATAAGCAAGGTCATCAAGCCAGCGACATTGATCCTGCATGTTCAGCTTCCTGCAGCCGAGCGGCTAGGCGGGAGGGGACAGTACTTTCATGATCTCAGTTTCCAAATGCTCTCTGGTAGCTAGTATGGAAGGAACAGGTGGATCTCAAAGCAATGTGTCCAGAGGCTTCCACACCGCTGGCCAGGCCACTCACTGTTAAGCACCCAGGACTCTATGCTCAGACTTCGAGATTGTCCAGACTCAAAAGCCTAACCACGAAATCCCAGAACTGCCATGTACCCCCACGACAAAGTCTAGTCCTCCACATTTTTTGCTTTCGCCCCGTTGGCTCACTCCTTAGACGTACGCGCCCAGCCTCAGTCAGACACAGAGTCAGGCAAAACTGAGCAGACTTCGAACTTTGGGGTCTCTGGGACCAGGCTTGGGACTTCCAGGTTCGGGGTCCTTCGGGCGTGAGGTTTGCTGAGGTTGCTGTTTTGCTACGAGGGCGCTTGGAAGTTCAGGATTGAGTCTGGGTCACAGTGCTCAGAATTGCGTTATTGGACGCAGGATGTTGTGGATGCAAAGGCATTGGAGTGTGAAATGGTGGTTGTATGACGACACCAGGAATTTGGGGTGAGGGATTGCTGCTATGGTTCCAATATGTTCCAATTGCAAAGTGTCTGTTTTGGCAGGACTCAGCCTTTGACAGCTTCTTCCCTTAGAAGCACTTGCCTGAGTTTTTTTTGGGCGGCAAGACTAAGATGGCCTGCACCTCCCGCAAGTCTAGACACACGCATCGTTTTCAATTGGAAGTCGTACAATCGTTGTGAGGTTCCGCGCTTGTTGGGTGGTCTACCTGTAGAAGGGCAAGCTACTAGATGCCCAGGCTCTGAAATTTATGTTGCTGGATGCACGGGGCATTTGGCATCCTCTGATTGCTAGTAGGGAATGGAGGAATGGATCCCTATGGTGGCCCCTTTAGATTCCCCAAGGATAGCAGCTTCCTCATGGTGCAGAGTTCTGGGCTCCCTTTCCGTCAGTAAACCTTGCCTGGCAAAGCTGGCTCTCCTGAGCCCAAGTGCCATGCTGAGAATGCGGCTGTCTGCAACAAGGGACTGTCCGCCAATGCTGCTCCTGCGGGAAGTCTGCAAAATTGTTTTTGTGCCTACGAAGTCTAGCCAATAATGGTCCCTGCTTATGCAGCTCCAGTTGATCCAATGCAGGAGTTAGCAGCTTTAGTCTGACACGCTTCCTGCAGTCACACCCTCCAACCGCTCGCAGGAAAGTGGCTTTGGGTTTGGAGCGGCTCGCAAGCACAAGTACTTTCCCAGGAAAAGCGTCCCGTTGAGGAGGGGGATTGCTTGCGAGGCTTCGTCAGCGCTTGCCTCACAGCATTCACATTGCAACATGGACAGGCTCAACGCGGCAGACCTTTTGACATTCTTATTCTTCCCGCGACGCCTATCCGGCATTCTGATGATCCCCTGATACAGCATTGAAGACTCTAGCCCGAGAGGGACCTTCTACAAGTAGAGAAGCTGTACTAGGCCGCCTTCCTTCTCAAACCCTGCAAACAAGCACAGCTTCTTGCAACAGCTAATGGCATACCAAGGCCACTGCGAACACGACGGCCGCAGTGCCTTTTCCCTGAGTGCAAGACGCTTCAGGGATCGCTTTTGCAGGGCTTGTTTGCCACAGCGGCAGCCAGACTTGGAATCTGGTTTTGGACTTTTGCATGGTCGGATTCCGGTGTGGTTGTGACGTACTTACTACTGGTCAAGGGTCGTATACTAAGTTACTACGTATACACACAGTCACACAGTATGTTGCGCTCTTGCGATGCTCAGGGTCTCCGGATCAGGATGCCAACCTTCATGGCAGGCTGCGTACAAGACTGGCAGGCCGGCCTTGCCATGGAAGATCTCGACCCACTTGCTCTTCATGTGCTGGCACGGTGCAGCTCATTACAGAGTGACGCTTCAAAGTGCTCCAATGTGAGCTTGGAGCAGAGGGAGGGGTTCGGACACTGGTCGTCGTCAGTACCCGTAATGCCTAGGCGCCATTGCTGCCTGGTCAATGTGCTCCTGCAGCTCCTTCCATCGGATGCTCTCTGGAACATTGCCGAGCCACACCTGGAAAGCATAGGGGCACGGCACATCGATGAAGTGAAGCCCCCCCAAAATTGACACGCCACAAGAAGCCGCTACACAAACATGCTGGAACAGCGCTCAGACTGAAATCCAGGAGTAGGAGGCGCGGGGCACCTTCAGTGAGTCGTCCACTTTCAGGGCCTTGCCCTTGCCTTTGCCCTTGCCCTGCCACTCACAAATGCAGTCATTGGAGGGTTCTACAGAGATGAGGAGACTATGGGGTGACCTTGACTACATAGGATTCATGGCATTTCTCTGAGCATGGTCATTTGCTGGGGCCCTGGTGGTTTGTGCCTTCATGCCCCACATCGGCGGATACATGGCGTACATCGGCGGCATGGGCGGCATCATGCCGTAGCCTTGGTCTGGACTTCCCGAATTTTTTACAGAAAGCATGAGAGTCAATACAATCGATGCCGATTACTAGTTACTACTCGCTGCACGGAAACTAAGCTGCATCTTAGATATGATCATCTGAGGCCTGGGCCTCCTTTCCAGCCGCCCCAGCCTTTCCCGCCATCGCCGCCCCAGCCCTTGCCTTCACCGCCCCAGCCCATGTCGGCCTGAGAGCAAGAGATCGGCACTTCCACTCGATCCACTCGTTGAGTTGAGCTTTTTATGTAAGTAAGTGTTTGGATTGAATTGGACAACATCCCATCTTCCCCGTGCGCTCCCTGGGTTTTTGGTCTGTATACCGGATCTAGAATAATGCGTGCTCTGTGCTAGGAAGGTCACTACTTGATGTCACTGAACTACCCGAAGCTTGCATGAGCTACAGTCAATATTTCTAATTTAATGGACATGGGGGGTTCCTTAGTAAAATACAAGAGGGACCCCAATGTCCAGTGTGAAGGGTCCTTTAATAAGGCCAAGATTGACAGTAGCTCACATGTCGTGCTTACGGCACGTTACGGCACATGTGCGGGAAGTGCGGGAAGCCTGGCCTTCTTCGGCAATTGCGACGCCTTTGGTTACGCTGGGTGAAAAGTGATGGGCCCGCACGCCTGTTTAAATGGCTGCAGCGAGCATTGGATTTCTACCTACAAGCCTAGGCTGCAATAGATTATGGACTTCATGATCCATCCCCTTCATCATAGCTTCATACAGTAGGCGATCAACGGCAGGCAATCCTTGAGGCTGAGCAAAAACGCAGCGCCTCGAAACATGCAAAATAGGTCTGCTTAGGCCATGGTCTGCTTAAGCCCATGGTAATGCAAAAAAAATAGCGCACGCCCCATTCATGGCGAGAATACATAATGATGGGAACCATAATAGACTTACGCGATGTCAAAAAATGGTCACCCTCTTGCTTTCCATTTTGGCCATGAGGCACAAGCACGTTAACTTGCGCATTTTAGCGCTCAGCTCCCGGTGGAACTGATGTTGTCATTGACCTCTGCTTCTTTGCTTCAGAGTTAGAAGTTGCAGGCTTCCTGATGGGACCATAGCCCTCAGGCCTACATCGGGAACTGCAGTTTGAGTACGGATTAGGTTGCTGCAGTCTGCTTCGCAAGTGCCCCCACTCTCTGCCCAAGATGACCATTGCATAACCACAGAAGAATGCAGGGCAACTTCAATTTTCGTAGCTCCCTTAGTAACTCCACCAGCAGAGTTACATAGGCAGGATAGTCGTGACAGTGACCATCCCTTCCACAGCAGCACTGTGGTTGCCCTGATATGGCTCGCTTCTTGCTATTCATCGGGCAGGTACTCAGCTTCTGAGGAGACTAGCACATGCAGTCGCGATCATTCCGATTGGGTTTTTTGGGAGCCAGTGTGTTTTTCTAGTCCCAACAGCCAAGCTAGGGCCCGCGCTATATATCTACAGTAAGCAAGACTGCATCTCAAAGGGACCACACTGCACGGCTGCCCTCAGTGATAGATGAATCCTGCATATGGCACGACCCAAAGCATGCCATACCATTACTGGGTGTACGTAAAGATGCAGAGGTTGGCAGAGTCTTCTCAGGCTTTGACCATTGGCTTTCCATCAAGGCCCAGCTGGCCACCTCGGCCCCCGCTGCTAGCAGTATGTGCCATCCGAAAGTGTGACACAAGCATGTGCTGCATGCACTCCCCAAACTGACAATCAATAGCCTGGGTATAATTTCGGGCGCGGGGTTTGAAACATCATTTCTCCAGTGGGCAGGCCTTCTTTCTCATCACACGGTTAGGGCATGTGCATAAAACGCCACGACTATCGGTCTAGCAATTGCTTCGCCGTGGCTGCATGTCCTGCAGCATGGCTTTTTGCAACAATCGAATACTGCAAAACAATGCTGTCTTGTGCCAGGCGCTGTTGACGACGGTGATCTCCTCGCTGGGCGTGCCATTCCTCATCGCCCCCAGAATTGAGCTTTTCGGGTTGCTCAGACGGACTCAAAGAACTTGTATGCTCCACTGAATGGCTTGCGGCCTTACTCCTGGACAGACAGACCATCGGGTAGTGGTCAGCTGACGGCTTTTGTGGGGCCACAGAAGTCGCTCCAAACCATCCGCACTGGCACAATCTCATTGCAAGCGGTCCTGGAACCACGCTTCTCCATCTCAATGACAACATCCATGCCCGACCTACCACGAGAGATGTTTTGGAATGCTTCTACCATACTACGTACATCTGTCACAAGTGGATCTCGCACAGGATCTGACCGACTAGCGCTGCAATGTGCCACATGAGGCCCTGAGGCTGCAGCAGGACGCGTCCAAACACCACGTGCTTGTCGTCAAGCCAGGGAGTCGCTGCCAGGGTGATGAAGAACTGGCAAGCAGGCGCTTGCCCGCTGAAAACCAAGAAAAAACATCAAAACAACAAGGCTTGTGCCAAAAAACACTACCCAAAGCGGCCTCCAGCATGCCAAACTACACCTTTTGGGCGCTTGGCGGAATTTTGGGTTGGCCGGTAAAATTCCAAGTCTACGGCACAAGTTGGAGCAGTTATGGTGACACAGTGTTTTGTGAGCCACTTCCAGTCACTGCGATGCTGAGAAGCGCGGACGATGCTCTGGATTGCTGCTCATTCCAGAGCGCCCTTTATGACTTGACACTCTCTTCATTCTGACACACACAGATGATGGGCAGTGACTGAAACCTTGTCTTGAAAAAATATGTAGATGCAAGGCAAGCATGCATGTTCAGCTTTTTTGAGAGGGCGCGGCTATCTTTCACAAGTTTAGAGGACGGTCTCTTGCATTATCCCGCCTGTAGGACGACATGACATGTTGATGTTGAGAAGACTGCTGCTGAACAAACGGGGCATAATTTGCAAGCATCTCCTCCACGCCTCTCTTCTGACTGCAACAACGACGACGACAACATTAGGAACAAGAAAACTGCGGAACCCCCAAGCTTCCCAAGAACCCCCCATCCAACAGGCCTGGGAGCCATTCGAGTTCCTTCCCCGGTTCGCCATGGAAAGCAGGCCTGGCCTCAGTGATCATGTCAATGAACCTTCCACTTCCATGAGAAACTGAAGTCAGCTATAGTGCAACATAAAGGACAGACCTAATTATACGCATATGCCACAACTAAACCTCCATCAAAGTATCTATGTCACAAGGGTCCAAAGGGACCAATGAATTGGAGACACCCCAAACTGGGTCGGGGGCTCCGTGTGGTGGATTCGGCCATGTTCCCACTCGTCCCGGAATGTCTTGCCATAGATGCTTTCACCTCCTGAATGAAATGAAGAGTGTGATTAGTGGTGCGACTTAGGAATTTTCCTCCAATGAACGCAAGCCGTAGGAAAGGACGCGAAACGAGGGATAGGTTTTCAGATCAGGTCCTCTTCCATTACCATGGGTGATGTCTCCGCCCTGGCACATGAAGCCCGGGATGATCCTGCCGCACCGCAGAGACGCTTGCATGCTGCGGGGAGGTTTGGGGTCATGCCATTGGGCCCAGGGGGAACCCACTTGAGACCAGCGCGGACGAAAGCTAGAAGTGCATATAAGGTGAAGACTTGCAGCAACGCCGACCATCCTTTACTAGCTCAGCAAACGTAATCGCTTGCCCTGATGCTGAAACGCATCCATTCGGTTGCCCTGCCTTATGATGAATCGGCGCTGGACCAAAAACCATGCATGGCGCAGGAATATTGATTAAAGGGACTTATGTGAGCTGTGGCCTAAACCCTTTGAACCTTTCGTTCTTTTTTGCTGCGCTATCGCGGCCACCAGTCGCGATACTGACGTGCCCAAGGAAACGTTGACGCGGATGCATCTTTTTCAGTGTGTAACTATCGCGGCTTGATTTCAGGCTATTCAGTGTAATTTCACTGACGCGGCCACGGTGGGAACCATTTTTGCAAGATGCACAGCTGCCTTAGCCATATAGGACATGAGACACACATTTTCGGTACGCAAGCTCAGAGCCAAGCACCAATGGCAAACCGAGTAAACATCTGCTGTCGCGAAGACTATCGCCGTGGGAATGCTCATGTTTTACTGACGCGAACTATCGCGCACACCATAAAAGCTGACACGGCCAGTCAGTCCTTTCATGTTTATACGAAACTCTGCCTGCGGGGTTGTGGCCGCCGCTCATGTGGAATCCTCATGTCTATGAAGGCTGTGACTGTATCATTAGGAAATCACGGATCCCGAGTTCCAGCTGAGACTGCTGGATGTATGGAGGCCTGTTGTCACCGTCTCATCAAGCAAACAAGGGGATCCCCAATTCCAAGTCAACTTTGTGAATAGTTCCATGAGCGTTGCATGGTTTGTGTTCAGAAGCCGTACTGTAACAGGGAAAAGTAGGAAATTCAAGAAGTCCCCAACTCCAGTTGGATTGCACTCGTTCCTTGGAAGTCTGGGAAGGCCTAATCAAATGTGATTCCAAATGTGATTCCGCACAGGGACCCTGATAAAGTATGTTGCCGCAAAAAGAGCCCTCTCTCCCTTGTACCACCCCTAATCCTAATCCCTCATTGAGCATTCGCATCCGCGACCCAATCACTTTCAAAATGGTTGCCCCCTTCAATCACGGGTCCATCAAATGCGAGGGGTGCCTAAGGCGGGGCGGGGTCCTAAGCTTGAGGGGGGGTGGGAGGCGAAAGCCTCTAGATCTCCGAAATATCATACCATGTGGTCCACAAAGTTACCACGGCAGAAGACTAGATTGGTAAACAAGAACTCTCGCAAGCGTGATCAGGATGCGCGATGCAAATGGTCCAGCACAAGGCTCCTGTGGAAGACAGAGCCCTTGAAGTGCCGTGGAGAGCCAGCAAGCCCCGCTCCTGAACAAAGGATTCCGAACTTTTGGGTGTTGGGGTTTAATGGTTTGAGGGTTAGAGGTATGGTACAGGAGAATGCGGCCTGACTCGCCCGTCGCCAGGGCACGGAAGTTTTCCACGGTCATTGGCGCAACCTCCTTGAACAGCTCGAACCTTGTGGTGTCTTCGGACCGGCTTTGTGTGCAAACTGCCGTCACATCAATCAAATACACATGCCTGCGCAACAGAAATTCATCAATCGCGGACCAGGCTAGGATGACATACAGAAACCGCCTGAGGCAGCAGCTCAATTCTGCCCAGTGGCCTTCCACCAGCCTGCAGCATCCCAAGAAAGCACCAAGCCACGTCTGTCTTGAGATCGCGGCTATCCCGCAGTCAGTACATCAATGGCCACAAGGACTGCTTACGTGACTCCAGCCCAGCCTCTACTTCCAGAAAAACGTGGGGGTTACCAGCTGCGTGCGTCACATGCTGGAGCGGAACGATGGGACCTGGAGGAAGAGCCTTCGTCCTGCCACGAAAGCAGCACGGCAGCAGGCATGTATGCCACCCATCAGCATGTAATAGCAATAGCTGCAACCTTATGCCACAGTCATGATGTGAGTAGGTCCGGAGCCACGCAGACGCTACGCTCTTCCCTGCACTGCGCATGACATCATACAGAAGGCCAACAAGAAGGACGCCAGTGTTGTTCAAGCAATCGCAGCTGCTGTAACCTAAGACCTGCTCCTGCCCTCCCCCTGCCCCTCCGTCCCGGTGAGCCATACTGCGAGGAAGCCCAGAAGGCCCACAGCCAGCAGAGCTCCCAAAGCGATCATGCTGCCCAAGTTTCCACCTCGCAAGGACTAGCACCCTAACTGGAAGGATGTGCAGCAGCAGCCATAGCAGCAAGGAAGCAGAGGAGGCAACAACATGTCTGAACTCGCCATACTCATGTGCATCACCCTGTGCCAGATTCGCAGCAAAAGCACCAATCGCTCTCCAAGCTGTTGAGTGCCGGGCTGCTTTCTGCATTGACCTATTGCAGGGTTGCTGTCGCTACTTTGGCTGTAGCTTGATCAGCACTATGCTGCTGTGCCTGCAGCGCAATGAGAAGAATCAGCATAAGCTGCCACAAAATATCACGAACATATGTTTCTCAAGGTGGCGATTCAGTTTGAGACAAGATAACCATGCAGAAACGAAGAAGCGCATTCCAAGCGTGCTTGACCGTAAAGCGGACTGCAGAAAAGAGCGCATACGTCAAACGCAGTCATCCAGCAGCAGCGGCATCAGCAGCAGCCGCCGCTGCGGCAGAATTTCTTTCTGCTGCCATACCAACGTCATCATACGCCCTTCACCTGTATCGCTTGCAGCAGCCATAGCTATGATCGCAATAATTGACCTTAATTGATAGTGAAGTAAACTGACCGCAGTAGTCCATTTCAGGAGCCTGCATGAGGCATTGTGGAGGCTATTTGGGCATTGCAGACAGCGCATTGGTCTTCGTAGGGCTACAGTTGTAGAGATGCAGGCCTTTGTACGGGTAGCATTGACTGACAGCCTTGCGAAAATGTTTCCCAAGCCGGCATAAGTGGCACGATTCAGCCAGAGCCTCCAGCAGCTCCAACTGGAAGACGAGCACCGAACCAGGAGGAATAGGGCCGACCCCTGCAAGCACAGAAGCTGAATGAGTGCATGTATCGGGATCTTCTTGATGAAGAACTTCTGGGAATGCAGAAACTTCCCAAAGGGACGACTTGCTGATGACTCGGACTGTTTCAAGGTAGGCTGTTTCCTGAAGGCTGGGCCCTGTCTTCAAGTGCAATCTCCAGTCACAGACGCCATGCTCAGCTCCTCTAATACTTTACAAATTCACCATGGTTTCAGCAAACATCAGCTGATGTGCGGAGCTACAGGACCCAATTGGCTACTGATCAACACTACGTGCCCCGCGTTAAAATCCCTATGCTGTCTGACACGCAGGGTCTGGATCGCGCTTGTTCCGGAGCGTCGGGATCGTGGTTTGTTTGGATCTGCTTCGGGAGCATGATGACTACTAAAATGGGCCCTCCCAGTATGCAACAAAAGACAAGCGAGCCATGCTACATAAACGCATGCTTTGGTCTGGAACGGATATGGAACGGGGTATGGAACGAATCCCGTATGAAAAACGGATTTGGTACCACCTTCAGTAGCATGATCTACACAGCCTGGTCTTCTTTATGATGGTCTAGAACGGCAGGGTCTGGAAAGGGATCGTGGGGCAAGTTCCGGATCTCTGGATCCGGCACTGGATTGGCATGTGCGTTTCCAGCCTTCTATGTTGAGCGGTAGCCAACTGAATTTTGCAATCGGCTCCCGTTTGCAGCCTAACACCGAGTTGCGTTTGAATGCAAGGTGCCCAACCATCCACAGCCCTGCGGGATTGGAGTGTTGGGGCTTGGCGGAGCTGCACTCCAATTCCGCTGATCGTAAGCAGGCACTGTAGTTCAAGACAATCACCTGCAGGCCTTCGCAGAGCTTAGGCTTACTTGAGGGCCTCGGTCGCCATACGCGAGGTGGCTCGGCAAGATGATCTCCCACCTGTCTGCAGGGGCGCAGCATCATCACATAGCATCACAAATAGCTCTAACACTTAAGAACCAAACCACTAGATTCAGTTTGTGTTGCTTACTCAGATAACATCAAGCACAGCAATCGAGCCTCATGAGCATTACACTCGGTGATTAAGTAGCTGCTGTAGCAGCTTGTGTGTGCCTGATCTCCCAGCATCATGCTAATTATGCCCGGGAAACGTTTAATGTGAGCGCAGTGCCATTGCCACTGCTACTGCATCTTGCTCGACGAAACTAGTAACTAGGCTTGCTGTGATCCTCCGCATTTGCTGCCATAGCACTTCTCACCGGCCCGCATCATCTGCAAAGCTTCTGCCCAGCCGGGGACAACTTGAGATGGCCTGCACAGAAGCTTCGGGACAGGATTGCCGTGCGGCCGCAAGAGGTGCACTTGAAGGGTTTTTTGTCCCATTTTGCTGAAAGGTTTAAAGCTCGTGGATTTGCGCACAAATGATTGCCAATGTCATGCGGCCACAAACAGTCACTCGCAGCTACTTGCGTGTTCAGTTATCTGTGCAAATGCATCTACAGCTTCGTAGTTTGGTTTGCAATGCTTTTTCGCCTGACTGATCAACCTCCTGGCAGGCCTGAAGATTACAGGGTCTCCCTGGCGGTACCTCACACCATGATTGCGGAGAATTTGCATGGTGCTCGGTTGCCAACAAGGAACAATGTCAGCCTATTTTGTTAGCCGCGGCGCCTTACGCTCCATAGGAGCGGCCGAACTGCACACCACTCTACTCTGGCAAAGTGTGAAAGAATCAGATCCGTCCAGTCAAGCTTGAGCAGCTCCTTGCAAAGGCAACACTAGAGACGCACACTAGAGACAAGTGTAGCATAGGCAGGTTGCTGAAATCCTCTTTTGCTGGTGTTACGTAGCACGAGGGACACACCATGTATTTCGTCAAGTTGCCTCTAGCATAGCGCAAGCATTGGAGGAAGAAGCTTCTTTTGAGTCTGTATCCAGAGGCATCGTGCTGCCGCGCGCTAGGTGAACCTGACTTCTAAAAAAAACGCACTGCCAAGTCCGAAGTGCTACAGCAGGAGCCACCGTGCTGTTTGCGAGCTTCTGCCGAGGACTGCAGGAAATATCCACAGCAGTCTTTGCTGTATACGTTCACGATATCATCTGTATTGAGCTAACAGGCGCATCACTCCCAGCCAAAAGAGTTGCTGGTACTACTGATGTTTGTAATTCTGTGTGGCTGCAGGTGTTGCGAGAGAAGACGAGCAACCCCGGTCAGGAGGTTTGAGTCGCTTCTGGCCAACGCCTTGCATTGCTGCCAAGGAGCCAGGCGAACGCTTCGTCTGCATGATCATGACGATGAGAGGGCTCGGCCTAAGGATGCAGGAAAAAGTAGCCTGGCTTGAAATGATACAGAGGCAGGCCACCAGCTCCGCGTCTCCACACAAAGCACTTGAGCACATGTTTTTGTCGACCATCTTTTGTGGGGATTGACATGAGTTTGACATGGGCCAAGCTTTTCAATGTTGTGCATAGGCGTGTTTGGCCACCTCTGCACAATTGGACTGCCAAGACAATGACCGTCAAGTTTTCAACACTCAGGCGTGTTGAAAAGGAGTTAAATCTGACAGCTCATGACAAGGTGACAAGAGCAGCAGGCCACGCGACAAGAGCGTGAAGCGAGTTGAGAAACATGACACTCATTATGAGGTAACAAGAGCAAAATTCGTTGTGACAAGAGCAGCAAAACTCCTCCAGCACGTGCTATCTTTTGAGCAAATGCGATAAGAGGATGCTCACGTTGCCTAGCTCATCAAGCTCCACATCCTGAAAATCTATCATTCTCTGAATACTCTTAGCAGGGCAATTCAAAATCATTTAAATTCCCAATTTAAGGTTATTCTGGTATCATTCCCTATATAGACCACCATATAGGGTGAGGTCGGGTGAGGTCGCTTTGAATTGCCCAGTTTTAGTGAGTACTCCTGCGCCGTTGCTACGACGAGCCAGCCTGGATCAATCAATATAGCATTTGTGGCAGGGCATTTCGCAAACCTGCCATTACACCAAGGGCTTTGAAATGCCCTCGAGGTGACAAGCGACATCATGTGACATGAAAACAGGCGATCTTCATTAATGCAGACTAATGCAGAAGGCAGCTCTAATCCTTGAAGTCGGATCATATCATTCTCTACTGCTGCTATTCAACAATGACAGATGACGTCTATGTCACATAGAGCCTCAACATTGGGCAGCAGCGCCTTCCATCTGATTGAAAACCTGAGAAGGCTTTCGCTGTCCAAACGTCACAAGCCCAGAAGAAGTGGACCAAATCTTCACATTGCATCCTCTGCCAACTCTTTCCTTGAACAAGTTGAAATGAGCTGCGCATCCGATGCCATTGCCGCAGCAATGCCACCAACAATGCCTGAAATGCTGGCAGCACAGGCAGCATCTCTGAAACCGTCACCCTTGATCAGGTCGCATGCATCCACAGCCCCGGACAGGAAGGATGTTGCCAAGCCAAGAGCACCAATGAGGCCCATCATGTCCACTGCACACAGTCTCTGGCCAGACTTTGTGTTTGTGATTGTGTACGGATCACACTGATGGATGCTGGCAGTGATACCTGTGCCCATGCGCATGAGAAACGTGGTTCCCAAGCCAACAAACGCGATGCAGCGGGAAACTGCACGGCCATTGACAGGATTGGTGTAGTTTTCCCATGGGGCTGCAGGCAAGGTAAGCTTCTGGTGGATCTCATTGATTTTTTTGAGGACTGGAGTGTCATCTGGATTGCTCGCTGGAATTCGACGAGTTCGTGAACGCCAGCGTCTTGCCCATGCGAGTCTGGCCTCCTTGTTTGGTGCACATGCTAGGTCCGCCCCGATTCCTGACTGGACCGCAACCAACAAGTTGCCAGCGAATGAGGTGATCTGGGCAGCGCATTGAGCCCTTACATCATAGGTTGGAACGCAATCTGACACCGATGCTGCTATCTCTGTGCCGGCAATTACAAAGGAGTAGATCGCCGTCAGAATGGAGGAAGAACACCTCAAGCGATCATCGTTTGTTCGTAGATTGCCTCTTTCTCCGCCAGTAGCCAGGCCAACAATTCCACCACTTTTTTTGCAATCGAAGTCTACTGCTTGGACGATGGCGTTTGCTGCTTCCATGAGTCGAAAGATGGTTTGAGCAACGTCGATGCTGCAATCCACCTTCTGTGTGTCGTCAAATACAGGATCGTCGTATTGAAACACACGCCCTGCAACAAGCTTTCTCATTTTGTTCATCATCTCATGCACTTCGGCCGGCAAACCCTTCGACATTTGCATCTCATTCAGTCCAAGGACTTGAGTGTCAGCCTTCCAATCTCCGGATGCTCCATGGAGATCAGGCAGGAGAATTGTCTTTGGAGCGATGACCTCAACCACCCCTAGCATGCCTCCAACAACGAGCACTACCGCAGCGGCCACTCGAACTGCCATCCACGCACGGGAGGAAGTCTTGGGTAGAGGCCGCTCTTGCAATGGAAGGTCCTCTTCCTCAACATCAACAAACTGCATCATTGCCTGGGAGTGCTGGGCATCCATTGCCTTGGTTTCGCTGGATGGCCCACTAGAGTTTGACAAAGGTTTTCTTGAGCTGGCTTTGAAGTCTTAGAATTGAAGGAACAACTTTTTTCAGCTGAGAGGCGTGTGCCATATCTAGTCAGGATTGAAGCTGCGACCGGAAGCAGCTCGGGCCAACGCTGCGAAGTGATGTCCATAGTCTTTGCCATGCAGCCACAGTTTCAAAGCTGCAGAAATGACAAAACTGCATTCAACTCAGAACTGTTACCGGCATTCCACTGTCGGCGAAAGCCGGGCAAAATTCTCCCTCTCAACACTATAACCGTCCATCTCAGAGTGGTCAAGAAATGCGCCTCGCAACACTCCTGCTTCAGGCATCCCTCTCACCCCAAAGTGGCATAAGCTGAGGAAGAGGCCGGCTAGCGCCATCCGTTCACTGTGCTTCGGCCCAACCTTTCAGGCAACCGAGTGAAATATGGGAAATATAGGGAACTAGGCTTGTGAGCTACTGTATCTTTGAGGTATCGTACGCAATACCTGTACTGGAAATATAAATTTGGATTTCCGGTGTCACTTTAGCTCCGGCAAAAATAAGAAAATTCCGTTTGCAGAATCATGTGATTGCGCATCCATTGAGCCCTGGCCAAATTTAAAAATAGTTTTGCTTCGTTTTTTCTTGCATTTTTTTGGTATAGCGTGATGGAAAATATTTTTCCAAAAATATATACCAATATTTTTTTAAATTGAGAAACAAAAACGTTCTTCATTGCCACGTGTTTTTTTATAAAAAACAAAGCAATCATTTATCAGGCGGACATAAGAAATTTCTATCAGAAAATGATATTACGATTTTTCAGTTATCAAGTTCAGTGCGTATCTCCAGATTTTTCCCCATCATTTTGTTTTGAAATTGCAAAATCCAATATAAAAAACAAATCAAATTTGATGATTATCAAATATGATTTTTGTTTGGTTCTATTTCATGTTCATGTTTTGTATTTTGCAAATAAAATATCACCAAAGTACATCTGAGAGCTTAGATTGCCAAGTTGCATGATTGGCATGAATCCACGCTTGCGCTGCGCGGCGATGACGTGATCAGTGCCACCGTCTCCTGCGGAGGCCATGCGTGATATTTAAGGTCCATAGTCTTGGGCTTCGCGTGCTGCAGTTGTGCTGTAAGAGGAGCAGACAGCCCTCGCTGTTCAAGATATGTACAGCAATGATGTTTTCAGGACCGACACTTCAAGGATTTGGTGTCCTACAAGTATCAAGAAAAATCTAACGGGCGGGTTGATGGAAGACCATGACTGTGACGTTTACTCCCAGTCGACAGAAGACCAACATAGCGGATGCTTGCAGGTTCCACATGCGTTGCTAGTAATCTTCAGCGAAAGAGACTTAAAGGGAGGTTACCTTGTGGTTATTTGGAGAAGAACAATCACCTACGGATAGTTGCCCTAAACAGAAGTGAGAGTAAGGCGTAAGACTGTGGTCCCTTTTGCGGGGCTCCTGCCGGCATCGTTACCTGGTGGAAGTTGATGTCACCAGATGTTATTGAGAGTCGTGGCCAACATCCGCTGCAGGGCACTGCAGGGCAAGCCAAACCATAGGATCTTTTTATGATCTTTTGGCACAGCTGCATGAGGTGCCAGTCACTGCCATCCAAGCTAAGGTTGCAAGGCTGCGGGAATGACTGAGCATGTCCATGTGGCTCTCGGTCGGCTCGCACGCACACTGCAGACTGAGTATCTTGCATAACGCATAGCTCAGCACCTACCAATGCCCATGCCAATTCAGAGCGCCGCAGTCGCCTTGCGTATATGCCACACTATGACGCATCCGTCATGTCCGGCCCTCCTCAAATGACCTCCAGGCTTGCTCAAAATCCTGCTTAAGCGAATTCGGTTCACACAACTTCCTCAATCATTTCACTCTCAACTGTACCAGAAGGAGCTGTTGGAATGAAGAGAAATCGTATCAAACAGCTCCCTCTGCTTGTAAACGCGTTTTTTTAAACGCTCTCCCTCATCAGCAGTGCTTGCCACCATACTTACCTTATCGCAGCCACCAGAAGCACTCCATGGAAAATGCATCCGAGCGGTTGTTGTGGTGCGCGGCTTTCATTTTGACCTGTTGCGTGTTGCCCAGCATATTGTCAACACCAGCTGGATCTCGTCCGGCACGCTTGCTAGTGTTCTCGGAAGGCTTCCGCAGCACTTCCCTTGAGCTTCAAGGTACTCGCGCGGGAAGATCAAGGAAAGTACTGCGGAAGCCACAGGCTCGGGCGTGCTCCTTTAAAGGAGCTGCCATGGACATGGCAATCAAGGAAGACGCAGGATGAGCCCAGTGTTGCACTTAGAGCCAGATTGAAGCTGGCTGCCCTTAGCACAAGACTCGACTGTATGCAGCTCAACATGACTAGCAGCTTGGAATTCTTTCGAGGAGGCCTACCGTACCTGAGCGGTTTCGCTACCTCCGAGCTTCAGCTACTTGCGTGCGGTGGAACTGCGAGCCCCGGGAACGTCCCTCATCATCTGAGTTGCGCACGAGGAGTCAAACTCGGTTCCATCCACCAGGGTGCCCCTGTAGTGACACCTGAGGCCAAGGGTGCGAGTGGTTGTCGGAGGTCTCAACGAAATCTGAGACTCACGACTTTTGCTGCACACTGTATTGTCCTGAATGTGCTCACCAGGCTTCTGGAGCAACACCTTTTATATCCTATGTAGACTCATGCTTCCCAGAGCTGGACAAGACTACGCCCAAAAAGTTCCGACATCCTGGGCTCACCCAAACCACGTGCTTGAAAACCTGCTTTTCCGTATACTATGTATTGCTGGGTTGCTGTTAAGGAACTTAATTTAAGTTACTATATTGGGGAAACCCTATAAATTTCTGTGTATATATATATATACCCATTATACTATGTATCATGCGGAGGTTCCGGAATCCTTCTTGTCCAGAGCCTCGGCCCATGCAATTCCCAACTATTGTAGCTAGAGGCTTCCTCTTCCAGAACAAAATGGTTGAACAGAGCGAGTCCAAGCCTTGGAAATGTCTCTGGAACCTCATGAAGCTCTACACTCTAGACTTTGCTCGTTCATCTGAGTACGCCCTTGTCTTGAGATCTCTCAAGGGAACTGAAGGCTCAAAACCAATGTGGCACATATGAGTAACTTCAACTCACAATGACAAGCGAAAGGCCCGAGACACCTTTGGTTGAAAAAGACACGTGAAAACCCTGCCCTGAAAGCACACCCTTAAAACTTCATCAAACCTACACCCAATTTTTTCACAGAACAGGTTTCCGTGAAACGCATATGGTATGGCATTCCTTGAGGGGGCAGATCAGTGGCCGATTGTTGCGATCTTACGAAGGAACAGATCCTGCCTGCAAGGATTGTGCGGACCAGGCCTTGGCCCATTGAATGAGCTAGAGTCTAAACTCCTTAAACATGTATAGAGGGGATTATATGGGAGAGTATTATAGGGGCTATTAAGGGGGATACTAGGACTTTAGACTATAGCTCAGATAGATTCTACATAGAGTCTGCGGGAACTCAGCAGGCGGGAACGCATTGAGCAATGGGCTCAGTCTAGCTAAGGTGTCACCCCCACCTTTTTCAGTGCTGGCAGAATGTTGAGAAGTCTTGACCTCCAGCTTGCATCTTCAGCGACCATGAATACGTGTTTGGTATTTGCCAGTGTCCCATGGCGGCAGGACAAACCACACAGGATGGCTCGAAAAGCTGTCCTGCATTCCACACCTGAGACCTCTTTTCAACGATCACAGCCTGCACGTAAGCTTCAAACCATGCACCAACCCAACCTGATCCGAACCCCTGCACACCAAGCCTATACCTGGATGCCAAGCTCGAATCTCCGAACTCAAGTGAAGAAGTAAAAAAAGCCAACGTGATGGCATGAACATGTCAGCACAGCTGTTGAACACACATTTGCCACTGCTGGTGCTCTGAGCACCGCACCTTTCTCCGGATGGATTACTCTTTATCACCTGCCAGGCATCAAGGCCGTTGGGAGGGGATAGGGTTGCTTCGACAACTCTTCTTGTTCTGCCAGCACTGTACTCAAATCATGTGAATTCTATTGCTTCCGATTTTTGGTTGCTATACTGAATACAGCTACTGCACTCCTGAATAGGCTTCCGGATTGGCAAAAATATGCAAAGTTGGCAGGTGTTGTTGCCCTCTTACTGTAGTAGCTGGGGCTTTGTCAGAGCCAGAGCTAGTGCATCTGACATGCCTTTCCCAAGCATTTGTTGAGTCTGAAGCTGCACTGTTTATTGGAGATTCAGAAGCAAGCCGTTCCACATGGATGCATTCAGTCCTTGTAGCGCAGACCGGATTGAGTCTCCTGGAAGCCTTGCCTGCACATGCAGGCACTACAGATTCCAGAGTCCACGTTGGGTCAGGCCAGACAACCTGTCTGAGCTGCACTTGCTGTAGAGCCACGGACGAACACGAAACTCTGAACAGGGTGCTGATCGAGCACGGTTTTTGGTGGTCCTCAAGCTGACTGTCTTTTGTTTGGCGGCTGCCGAGCCTTTTGACGGAATCGTCGAGAAATTCCTCCTGCTTTGCGCCACGGAAGCGCAGTTCCTGAAAAAGGCGGAACTTCGCATCACTTGACCAAACAGCCTTACACCACGAAAGGATCCCTCCAGCATGCTTCTAAGTTTCAACTCCGTGGCTGCAAACAGATTACTGCATGACTGCTGCCACATCCAAGCAACATCAGTTCAAAACTAACTGAGCAGGCCTTGTCCAAAAATTTGCCACTTAATCTTTAATGGTTTGAGGCAGTAGCGCTTGCGCCATCCTCCGTTGCCATAGCGGCCACACTGCAATGAAAGCTGTAAAGCTTCGTATGTCTGCGTGGGTGCGCTGGCTGCTACCTGAATAGAAGAGTCCTCATCAAGTGTAGGGAAATCAATAAATCATGCTGCTAGGCAGCAACTGCACAGAAAGTAGCAGCTTCCTCGTTCAACAACGTTCCATCTCTGCCCTATAAATCTAACGAGTACGGCCCATTGGACTGTTGGGGCTTGAGTTTTGTGAAATGTTTGGAACAGTGGCTGAAACCACAATCACCATAACCATGATTTCTTTCGAGTAGTGATCCCGGTATGATCACAAGGGTAAACGCCAGAGCGCAGCAGCCGTCTTTGCAGTTACGGTCATCAAATATGGCATTCTGGGTCCAAACCCCAGGCAAACACGTGCAGCTGTGAGCATTTACAAGCGCAAAGTCTTGTCCGTGTCTAGCAACCGTTCATGTCCGTCAGAATCTTGGCTACTTTGGGCTAGACCTGGCATTCTTTCAAGAAGACGCATTTCCGCAAACTGTGAAGTGTATGATGACCTGGATTGAAGAAAAAGCTTACCCAAGCCGAGTTGTGCCCCAATGTTTGATGCAGGTGTCACGGGCATTTACAGCACATGTCGCGTTAACTCCAAGCAAACGTCCCCTTGAGCAAGCTTCTGCATCATGAATGCCACATTCAAAACCACAGGACTTGTCCAGTGAAGTTTCAGGAATTTTCCAATGCTTGTCCAGCAGGAGAAGATCTGCTCTTCAGGCATGCTTGTTTCATGTTTCGAGCCGCTCAAGTAGCTGCTAGCATCACCGTGACGTCATCGGGAGCACTGCAAACAGAACACCAGATTATGGACCAATCCCCTTCGGCCATCGTCATCACTCATCACAACTTTGACTGGAATTGCTTGCGCTTGGGGTTTGTCACCCGAAGCCTTACAGCGTAGGGCTGTTACTTTGTAGTCTGAGGCGGCACGTCTTGACCGTTGCTTGAGTCTTACCACTGCATAGACACTATAAGTGACAAACAGTCAAAGCCGACCCTTTGGTCATAACTATGGGAACAACCAGGGAAATCCGTATAAGCATCAAAGCCATAAGAGCTCTGAAGCCAATCAGCGATAGCAGCGATGCAGCCACGAAGGATGGAATCTGTCTGCCTACCAAACGCTGTTTCTCCCAATTTTCGCAGGACTTGGCCACATTGGGCAGCGTTCTGCCTCATGCACCCCCATGCTTCGTCTGGGAAGTCTCTTAGCTTAAGACCCAAGAGCTCAGCCGTGCCCATCTCCCATACTGACGGCAAAGATGCGTTCCAGGCCACTCCTTTGCAGGGTCTTTCCTTCGCAGTCGCGCGAGGCTCCACAAGCAGGTTCTGGAAGAAGTAGCGACATTCGTTGGCAGGTAACTTCAGCTGCTCCTCGCACACGTTTTGAATAAGATTTGGCAGGTCATTGTCTAACAAGGCCCCTCCCAGCCGCGAGAAGATATCCCAAGCTTGGATCAGAAATGCATTTTCCTGGCAGACGCGGACTCGAATCCGAGATGGAGGGGGAGGTGGTAAAACACGTTGCCATTCGGGGGGTACATGCAGTGAATCCATGATATACATCCAGGATCCTTCTAAGACTCCCAAAGTTGAACTTGCATCCACGCATATGCCAATAAGATCTGACATCTCGGATTGCTTGAGCAACTTGTCTGCCCAGTCCCATGTGCCTGCAAGAAGATGCAGCTGGTCCCTTACCCCGCGCAGACCGGCATCAAACAGGACATAATGGCCTCGGCTTTGAGGATTCAGGCAGAGGTTTCTGTTGATGGTAAATACCGACGAAGGAAAGCTGGCCCCACTGAAGGGCCTCAGAATGGCAGCTGGCTTCTTGCATCTCACCCCTCTTCTGCCATGTCGATAGCCAAGCATTGGACGAGTCTCTAGCACTCTTTGGATCGTGGTATCATGCTCGCCTCGAAGCTGCTCGAAGGCATCTGCAGCAGCTGTTGTTATGCGCTTCCTCCGGTCCAGGTGATCTGCGGAATAATACTCTGCGTTTGGACCTTCGGAGGCGCATCGCTGCATATCATGCCTGGCAGCATGTCGCAAAGCAGCGTCCAGCTCGTTGGCACTTAGGTCAGGCATCACGTGGCGCAGAATGGTTGCAACTGCGGCGTCAAACTCCTGAACCAGACCTTCAGATTTCACGGTTATGGTTCGAGAGTCTCTCTGGCGCTGGATTCCCAGCATGTGGCCAAGTGTATGCTCAAGCTCGGCAGCTGCCTCAATGCGAATCCCGTCTTTGGAGCCAAGCTTAGACAAGACATCTTTCCCGGAGCCAGGAATTGCATCATCCACCCCCTCTTCATCTAAGAGGTGGTAGCGATACGCTGAGATCACAAGATCCTGCGGGTCACGGACCACGTGCACCGCCCTGTAGTTGGGGCAGCGCCGGTCAAACTCAGCAAGCAGGGACGGATGTGCTCGGAGGTAGAAGCCAACATCTGCCGCCGGGCAAGTCACATCGTCCAATCCTTTGGCATAGCTGCTCACGGACAAGCGCAAGTGCGAAAACAAATCGAACAGGAGGAGTAGCGTGACCATAGACCTTGCTTTGTGGTGCAGAAAGAAGATGATATGCTGGTAGCCAACATCCAAACCACCTCTGCGGGGCTTCAGCCATTTGATGTAGGAACGAGCGTAGACTGGGTAAGCAGTCACAAAGCGCTGGCTAAATCGCACGCTGCATAACGTGTAGTTAGGATAAACACAGGAAATGCCTGCGCACGTTTTAAGCTTTTGGCACACGCGCACCGCCGTGTCTCTGTCCACCCCATAGTGAGATGCACTGTCCTGATTCTCCAGTTGCATGCCGTCTACCACCTGATACGACACGGACGTATGCGAGCGCAAATTGGGCTCTGCAAGCCGAAGACAGGTCGCAGCGCCTGCCGATGTGCCAGCCACCTGTCCTCTGCCCTTTCCACCAGTAAAGGAAGCATGGCAGTCCCAGGGAGCAGCACAACTCCTTTGCGTCCATGCCACGTCCATCATGTCTTGTCCCTCTTCGCGTGGATCAGTTCCATCCTCGCTCAAGATTTGACATCTCTTTCTCCCCCTCTGTCCCGGAACGAACTGGGCACCTACGACTCCATCAATATTCTTCTCAAAGATCTTGGACACTGCTTGCCAGCAGGAAGCTTCGCTCTCACCAGGAGCGGCATTGCCCAAGAAGAAGGCATCAAAGAGCTCCCCCGAGCTGTCAGCACACTCTCCCTCACTTATTCTTTCCACCACAGATGTTACAACGAGGATGCATACTGCAGACCAGATAAGCATGCACGCCATGCTGTCACATAGGCGCAGGGCGCATTCCGATCTAGCGGACCTGATTCCTGCGCCCATAGCTTTTCTGAGCACGCTTGGAACTAGTCTAGCACGAAGCCCTGAAAGGTCAGTCAGTCCCAGGGATCCGTGAACGATGTATTGTGTTGGGTTCAAAATCTTGCAAACGGCTGCGACTGGCGCAGACGCTCCTAGGCCGCGGAAGGGATGGAGCTGCGCACTCATGAGAGCGATTAGACTTGATCTTGATGTGGCACATGCACATGATGGGCCTACCACCAAAATTGGAAAACTTACCTTTCGCATCTCACGACCTCGCATCGATGAGAAACACTCCGATAAAACTGATGCTAGCGCGTAAGGATGATGGTCACCCCTGATGTTTAGGACCTCCGTTCACTTCATCCCCAAAGCCCAAGAAGCCACCCACGTTCCCAAATCCCCAACAAATCTCATTTTGCCTCAGATGCAGATCTCTCTTCAAGAAACAGTGCAGCAATTGTCAGTATGTTGATATAGGCCCACAGAACTGCCACAACTGCTACTCTTGGCTAACCACTCGCTCAGCACAATCAATGCGCAACGTGGAAGCACAAAAGCGAAGCAAGGAATCTTTGCATCAAGAATTGACACTCAAGCGGGCCCAGCTGGGCGTTCGAGCAGCACACAGCCGCGGAGAAGAGCATGCATCATTGCCAAAGGACAGCAAAAGCTCACATTTATCACTGGTATAACTTTTTATTTGGCAATGATGTCACGCAAAACTATCAGTGGCTTGGAAAGCCAGCTATGAAGCTCCTGAATGAGCTGCCACGACATCTTGGTGAGGCCGTCGGCCCTCATGAGATGAGTAGGCACCCAATGGACGTTCTCGCCCTTGACTACTTCTTGAACCGCACGAACGTTTACAAGGCTCCTCTTGTCTGAGAGGTTTGGAGTCTCGGACTCCAGCACATCATACAATGACTTAGCGTCTGTCACATGAAGATGACGTAGGGCTGGATGTACACGATGTGCAGGAGTGCCGGTGAGAATCTCAGAGATGAAGAGGTTGATGTAGGCACTGCGGTCTACTGCCTCATCTGCTGCCATGGCCTCCGCTGCTAGGGTCGACCGACACACTCTGCTTGACTTACTGCTTGGCCAGTCCAAGACCAGTCCGACGCACGGAACCTGTGAGACTTGAGGAACTGAAGCCAGGATAAGAACTCCATACTGCGAGCGAAGCTGAGGAGTGTTTGCGAAGCTGGAGTCAGCGTAGGAGACCAGGGTCGTGGAGGAAGCGAAGGGAACGTCTGCAAGGATCATCCCTGCGGCGGCCGTCTGCTTGGCAAAGTCCAGGACCAGGAAGAGCGTCTTCAAGTCTCCGTACGTGGTCAGTTCCCCCTTGTTGCTCAGGGAGATGAAGGGGGATAGCTCTGGACGAGTCTGGCTGGAGAGCCACTGTAAGCAGCCAGCCACTGACCTGAACTCTTCCTTGTGCTCTTTGTCCAACTTCTCCTCCAGGTCGATCCCCTTGGGGAGCTTGCCCTGCACGAGGCCGTCCAAGAAGGCCTTCTGAGTTAAGCGAAGCTGGAAGCGCTCAGAGTTGCCGTTCTTTGCGAAGAGCTCCACCTCTTTGCCTTTGAAGGTGATCGGCTTGTTGACCTCTAAGAACTCGAGGGATCCCCACGTGAAGGATTCCTTGACTTCACTGAAGTCGTAGTCAGACCGATGGGTACCCAGGAAATCGTCTACGTAGACGAGAATGACACTGATGATGTTGCCCTGAGGGCAGCGCTTGAGGAAAATCATCCTGTCAAAGCTGTGCTGGGTATAGCCCAAACGAAGAAGCCGAGAGATCACTTCAAGAGCCCAAACTCGTGGAGCGTCGGCAAGGCCATAGATGTTGGAGCACACCTTGTAGAGCGGGGCTTTCCAATGAGGAGTCTGATTAATCAGGCCATCTGCAGGCGGTTTCAAGTACAAGGGCAGAGAACGCTCTGTGTGTTGGCCTTGCAAGAAAGCCGTGCTGGCGTCTCCTGTCCATGCGTGCCACTTCAGGTCAGACCCCTCGACCTCTCCGTTCGCGCCGGCCACGATGATGTAGTACAGGACGTGCTCCGAGGACCTGTTCGGCGTCGGTGCTTGCCGGTTCAGAGTGAAGAGGTCGGGATCACGATGTCCGAGGCATACTATCCGGCACTTAGCGCGGAGTGGTCCTTGCCCTCTCGCCTTGTCGCGGTAGCTTGTGCGAAGTATCCTCTTACACAAGATCTTGTCGTGAAGGACCTTGCGAGCTTGTTCATGTGAAAGTGGTTCTACCGACTTCCACTCTAGCCAGGAATTGGCCTCCTTGTCGATGGCCTTGAGGTACTCGGGGACGTCGTTGCCGCGAAGTATCTGAGTCCAGGGAACCTCGCGATCCAGTTGCTGGAGTTCCTTGCGCGAGAGCTGCCAGGCCGGGAGAAGGTCCGCCGTGGTCCGAGTCTGTGGTATCGCTCTCATCAGGGGATTTGTCTGGAGGGACGTCGTCCTTGCGGTACTGGCTGGAGAGGTACGCCTGGTAGAAAACGTCGGGCTTTGGTCCAAAGACGCCGGTGTGGTAGTCGTCGTCGGGCCTGACTTGACCAACTCGCCATCGTCGTTCAGAAGTGTCGTCATAGTATCAAACGGTCGCTTCAAAGGAAGTTGTGGAAGAGAAGCCTCCGGAGGTGCCACCGGTGGTGTCGCTACGTCAGAGCTTGGTACCTCTTCCGTCGGACTGTGAACTGAGGTCGTTGAAGCGCCAGGCGGTGGTACTTGAGGTGCTGCAGGAACTTGTCTATCGGGGAACGGTGCCGTCACGGACTGTTGTCCCTCTGGAGCGGGTGTGTCAGGCCCTTGGTCTACAGAAGGTGGTGGTACTTGAGGTTCTGAAGAAACTTGTTGCTCAGGCAAAGGTACTTGCCACTCGACTTCAGCGGGGTTGCCCTGAGCATGTCCGCTGGCCTCCACGACGGGGTCCTCAAAGATCGCACTGTCGTAGGCAGCACTCCCGTGTTGTGCATTTTCGTCCGCCACCTCACCATCTGGTAGTCCAAGAAGCTGTTGTGGTAGTTCCTGCGCGTGTCCTGGCAGTAGCTCGGGAAGAACAGGTAGAGGTCGTGACGGTGTCCGCGAGCGTGCCCTCGAAACTCTCGGTGTCCGGGGAGCCCTCGGCGTCGTCGATGCTCGGTTCAAAGCGGAAGCCGGGTCGCCAAACCTCTGCCTGTGGGTGATGGTCTGATTGAAGGTCGGACTCATCGTGAGGTTGTAGTTGTTCGTCTGGTTCTGCTGCTGAGCTGGTTGTGAAGACAGGGCTTGAGGAGGAAGACGAGGTGCCACGACGGTGTCGATCGGTGCCGTACCAGGTGTTGCCGGCATCGATGGCTCGTACTCGCGGAGGTCATCGTCGTCCTCAAGGTAGCCGGTGTTGGGAGGAAGACCATGCTCATCCTGCCAGACAGAGTCTTTCAGATCGACCATCGCGTCCTTGAGCGCTTTGACGGCGACCCAGTCCATGACGAGGAGGCCGCTTCGGAGAACCAGGCCGGTGACCTTGCGGACGACGACCAGAACCAGGACGACCAGGCGGACGACGCCAATGACGCAGATCCTGGTGATGACTTGGGCGACTTGGTCCAGGTCTTGACTGTGACGGCTAGGCGCCTTGCTTCGGTCAAACTGGGGCGGAAATTCTCAGGCAGCAAAGTGCCACCGAGCGAGCTCAAGAAAAAGACGGCTTGCGCTGCTTGCGGGGAAATCGGGCATTGGCGCGGCGATCTCCAGTGTAAAGTTTCTGGTTCAGGTGCTTCGGCTTCAACATCGACTTCCGGACCTGCTTCTGCAATGCCTGCCAAGAAAGGAGGCAAGGGGGACAAGCCACATCAATCTTTCACCGTCATGCACAGTGACCTCGGTAACTACGAAGTCCGGTCAGGTTATGGCGCAGCCTTTGCAACAGATGATCAGCCAGGCCAGTTTCAGGTCAACGTTGTATACACCACACAGGATGTTGCGCATAACTCGGGCTTTGTCGGCTACATGGTACTTGACACGGCTTGCCAGCGAACATGTTGCGGCCGCAGGTGGCTTCAAGAACATGGTGCTCTCCTGGCGGCACACGACTTGGACATGGTCAAGGCGGACTGCAGGGATCAGTTCCAGTTCGGTAAGGGTGAGCCAGTTCATGCCGACCACCGAGCATATGTTCCAGCAGTCCTTGATGATGGTTCAGCTTTCTGCTTCGGCGCAGGCGTCCTGGATGCCGGCATTCCGCTCCTCGCGAGCAACCCTCTGCTCAAGGCGCTCGGCATGGTTCTAGATCTGCCTAGGATGATTGCTTATTTCGAGAGTGTGTCTGCAGAAGTGCCGGTTGTGAACTTGAAGGGTCACCTTGCTGTCAACATTGCTGCTTTTTCTGTGGAGACCACTGCAAGCTTGAAGCAGCGCATGACTTCCGTTGATTGGCAGAGTGCGGCTCCGGAGCTTCCCCTTGAACAGCCTTCGACAGTCAACTCGACAGGTCATGCATCAGCCTCCACCGCAATGGTTGCAGAGATGGCGGTTCCTGACGCAGAGCCTCTACTTCTTCAAGAAGAACCTCTACCTTCACATGTGCCGAGCCGTGCGCCTGCGACTGTGGGATCGCTCCTGGTTGATCGAGGCAACTCCACCACGCTTGGAGGCCAAGTTCACGAACCCCGAGGAGTGCGACCACAGCGACATCTACCGGTACGGCAACGCGACGGGCAGGTACGCAAGATGCAGGAGGTGCATGAGCAGGTGGGTGTGGAGAGCCGCCGACGAAAGGTGGCAGCTACACCCCTTCAAAGGGTCTTCGGCCTCATCGGCACTGCCATTGCCCTCCTCGGACAATACGGCGCCGGCGGCACCCAGCACGAGAACTTCTCTTCGGGCGGCTTCGGCAAAGACGAGTCCTACCTCGGCGCGGCCCTTCCGGAGTACGACCTCACGCGCTACCCAGAACCAGCCTTCCACGCGGGGGCTGCGGCAGATGACGGCCGAGGAGGAACTGGACGCCTGGCGACTCCTGACCGAGGATGGCGAGGAGACAACTTACGACTGGGAGGCGTGAAGGGCTTCAAGCGGCTATCTGGCAACATCAGCAGAGCAAGCCGCATCTTGGACAACGAAGTCAAAGTGTACACTGCTCTTCCCACAGCTGCCTCCCGGCCACCTGGTTGCGTGGATCTCCTTGAGCTGTTCGCAGGCGAGGCCAGACCGAGCGCGGCTGCGCTGAATCATGGGCTTCACGCATGTCAACCAGTCGACCTCCTGTATGGATGGGACTTGGACACACAGCGAGACCAGGACTTGGTCCGCTCCATGGCTCGGCGCCTTCGGCCCTGGCTCCTCCTCATCGGCTACCCGTGCACATCGGTTCCACGAAGTACAGGCTCGCCGCGACCTTGATCGACCACGACGGCGGTTCTTGGCGGACCTTTGCAAGGAGCAAGCCGAGCACGGGCGCCATTTCTTCATTGAAAATCCCCAGCGCTCACCACTTTGGGAGCAGGATGAGCTGATCGAGCTGGCTGCACTTCCGGGAACCACCATGGGTCATGCTCATCTCGGCGCCTTCGGCTCCGAGACCACGGACGGCCAACCCGTGATCAAGCCCATCAGCGTGCTCACCAACATGCCGGGACTCGCTGAGAGACTCTCTGTCAAGTTGAGCCCGGTTGACCGGCAATACTGCATGCCCATTCAAGGAGCTGAGACCAAGAGGTCCCAAATCTACCCCCATGCGTTCGTGCGTGAGATCTTGCTTCACTTGCGCGAACTTGTGGCAGAGAATGAGCCTCTTCGCTTCGGCAACTTTAAAGTCTATGCCCCGGCACGCTCCGTCTCCGACATCAAGGCTTGGGACTATGTGTTCGAGCAACTTGCGCGAGACTTTGCCACGGGCAATCGGCGTGCCTTCGACGTCGACATCAGCTCCCAATTTGGCAAAGACATTCAGAATCTGTTCCGCGTCAAGGCAGTGAAGATTCAAGCAGCTCCTTCTCCGATGCAGCGACGCTTCTTGATGGACCAGCCCTATACCGCCAGGGGTGTCGCTCTTGAGTATATCGACGGCTCCCGGCGCATTGAGGTCGAGCAGCTAGAGGAGATCAGACATCCAAAGAGCAGGTTTCATCAGGCAGTGCGCCATGCAGTGTTCATTTACGGCGACTCCTACCAAGAGCCTGATGTGGCCCAAGGAGGCGATGTTCAGGATCCTACAGTTCCTGTTCCTGGACTTCCAACCGACATTACGTATCCCACCTTGGGACCTCAGGTACCTGCTGAAATTCGACGGTCCGTGGCGCGACTACATGCCAACCTTGGGCATCCTTCGCCCCACGAACTTACACGCCTTCTACTACATCGTGGCATACCGAACGCTGCGGTCTTGGAGTGCGTCAAGAAACTTCGCTGCGCAACCTGTGAGCGCCTCAAAGGACCACAACAACCTCGACCAGCTTCATCAACTACCACTCCTACCTCGGCATCCCAATTCAACGAACTGGTGCAAGGTGACTTCTTCTATGTCCGCCTCAGCACAGGTGAAGCAGTTCAGGTGTTGGGATTGGCCGATACCGCGACAGGATTCCATCAGGCAGCCATCCTACGAACGAAGGGTGCCAGGGAGACCTATGACATCCTCGACCGAGTTTGGCTACGACCTTATGGACTACCAGCGCGGCTACTGCTTGATCCAGACCCTCTTTTCCAAGGCGACTTTGACGACATGCTCTCCACGGTCAATGTGCACGTTGACTTCTGCCCAGCCGAAGCTCATTGGGTCATTGGCATGGTGGAGAGACGAAATGCCGTGCTTCGCTCCATTCTGGAACGCCTCATTAGTGACCACTGCGCCACCACCATCGACGAGCTTGACTACCTCATCGCCCCGGCTTTGCACTCCATGAACAGCTACATTACTACAAAAGGCCGAAGCCCCTTCCAAGCTGTGTTTGGACGTGTGCCACAGTTGCCAGGAGGTCTTTTCACCGACGGCGGCTCGCTGGCTTCTTCACCTCTGGACCCCGGCCTGAACGCGGAAGCTGTCAGGAGTGAAGCATTGCAGCACCTGGCTGCGATGAGCGTTGACAGGGGGTTGCGCAGGGCACTACTGAGGAAGACACGGAACACCCGTGCGCCGCAGCTCAAGCCAGGCCAAAAATGCTCGTTCTGGCGCTGGAGAAAACGCGGCCTCCGAAAGAGGCGCGTGGTCCACTGCCAGATTCTTGGCTTGGGACCCGGAGTGCCCGGGCAAGCAGGCATGGCTTCGGAGTGGAAATTCGACGATTCTGGTCGCCACTGAACAGCTTCGTGAAGCAGTTGGTTTCGAGAGCTGGTCACCCAACGAGGAGGACATCATTGTCGCCCGCCTCGGTGACGAAGACTCGTCTTGGACCAAACTTGCCGCCGCCTTTGCCGCCATGGGAGTTCGGTACACCTTGCTGTGGCGCCGGTCGGTCGCCGGACTTGCCGTTGCCCTTGGACCTGACGATCAACTGGCCATCCTTGCCCACAACCGGAGGCGGCGCCTTAAAGTCGGGGAACTGCATGATCAAAGACTCGGAGATATCCTCAAAGGCCAGGGAGTAGCGGGCTCCGACGAGGACGAGTCGCTGATCCTGTGGGCTTAGCCGCGCTCGATCGAGAAGCCTGCTGCCACGAGCTTCGCCATCATACATGGCGGTCACGTTGATGTCCACGGCCTGGAGATTGCGTTCAGTTCTGCGACACCTGTTCGTAAAGGCACGGAGGTGTTCGTTCGGAAACCTGTTGATGCCCTCAAAGTCGGAGAGGTATCTGCGCTTCTGATACACCAGGCGCTGAGACATGGGGCCGCGAAGCTGCTCAAGGATATAGTTAATCCCCTCGGCACAGTTAATTCTCTCTAGTGGTGCGTGCTCCAACTCCTGCTCAGGCTCTCCGCTCAGCGCGGTGTACAACTGAAGGGCCGCCTCACGTTTAGACATGTAAGGCTCCACCTGGATCTCCCAAAGCCGGACTTTGCGCTCGTACTTCGCGAAAGCACGCAAATCCTCTTTCTCATAGGCCCACTTCGGCGGAGCTGGTGGCGCCCCGCCGCGCCACTTGACTCCACGTTCCGGGCCCATGCGACTGTTCCAGGAAGGTGCCGCAGAGCTTGTCCCTCTCTTCTTCCTATCTGACGGCAGGCTCTGGTCCAGCATGTTCAGACGGTCTCCGGGTAGCTCCTGATCGTGTCCTCCGAGATCACGAGGTGGTCCTTCAGGAGCAGGTGGCCTTGGAAGAGCAGCAGCGCCAGGTCCAGGTAGCTGAGGATCGGGCCGAAGGTCTCGTGGTCGTGAGCTCACAGTGCTGTCGTGGGTCGTCTCGGACTCGGTTTGTTCACCCCAGTCTCCTTCCGGGTCTGGTCTGCCTCCTCCATGTCTACGCCGCCGTCGGCGACGAGCCGCGCCAGAGGCGCCCTGCGCCGGCTCGGTCCTGAAGCATCTCGAGGGGCAAGGTTCTCAGCGCGAAGCCAGGGAGGAAGTGGTTCCTGTCCCTCTGGGAAGTACATCCATGTTCCATGCCCGGTGCGCCGGTAGGTCTGCTCGCCCACTCGGTAGTAGTCAAGGCTGCCGCAGAAGCAATCCTGGAAAGCTCCGCGCTGTCACAAGCAGCACAACGCCAGTAAACTGCGGAACGTCTAGCACTTGCAGAGTCAGGCGCAGTCTCTTCGCTATGCCCCTGGATCGCGCTCACTCGCTGCGAAAGCGACTCCAGCCCATCCCAGTCCTCTCCGTCTCCATCGCCAGGGTGATCATGATCATCGTTGGCCATGTGGAAGATCTGTGGAACGGTGAGCATTTCGCAGCAAGACAGAGCGTGCAGAAAGGCTCCGGTGCCAACTTGGCTAACCACTCGCTCAGCACAATCAATGCGCAACGTGGAAGCACAAAAGCGAAGCAAGGAATCTTTGCATCAAGAATTGACACTCAAGCGGGCCCAGCTGGGCGTTCGAGCAGCACACAGCCGCGGAGAAGAGCATGCATCATTGCCAAAGGACAGCAAAAGCTCACATTTATCAGCTACAGCTACAATGGGCAGCGTTGAAGGGCAGCATTGATTCATCCAGAATGCTGGACGAGTGTCTCAATTTCACCCCCATCTACTGCAGACTGCAATCTGCTGGCGCTTGACTTTCGCTTGATGACCGTAGCCACCTCTCTTCGTCTGCTGCACTCCATGGTTTGCCTTTGGTTAGCATGTCTTGCAATGACTTCCTGACGGTGAGGATCGTTTCTGAGCCAACGCGCATGCCCATAGAGCTGATGAAGTGATGAGCTGCATCCCGAACGCTTCTCCTGGACTTGTGAATCATGCATTGACCTCCTGCATGCTCCAGGAGGATGGCAGGACCAAGCAGCCCTTGCTTCAAGAGAGCACGTGCAAGGTCGCCGGTTCCTGCATTTCCGAGGCCATTAGCCACTATCGAGAATGCGTAAAACTGATGCGCAGGTTGCTCTGCATGGCATGCAGAGTCTGCAAGTCCCCGCAGCAACGCCACACACGCTGCCGACACTGCTTGCGTGTGAGCATCTCGATGGACGATCACTTGTGGCAGGATTTCCAGCGCCTTCAAACGAATATCAGCAGAATTTGCATCGGAAGCTGGCCATGCTTCCAGAACTTCGCCAACCAGCTGCAAAAGGCCTTGCCGCACCAAGAGTGTACGGCAGACTGGCACATCGCACCAGTACCCGACCAGGTCCAAAACGTCACTGAGCAGGCGCTGATGGAGACGAGCATGCAGGCCGAGCAAACGACACACGTAATCTAGGGGGCCGCCTGGCTCCACCGAATCCGAGCTGCATGATGTTGCAACTAGGAAGGCATCGGCATCCTCCTTGAAATCTGAAAGCAGGACATTCACAACTTCTTCATGGACATGAAGGCCGCCTTTATTCAAGGCTTCGACTCCTCTAGCCACAATTTGTCGCAGATGTAGTAGCTTTTTCTGGCTGCGAGAGCGCCTCTTCTGGGCATGCTCACGCGCCTGCATCAGTTGCAACTGTGATTCAAGCCTCATGTAGTCATCGGTGAAAATGGCTTCTGCTGGTCCAGGTTTCAGCCCCACCTGGATCTGCTGAGCTTGGCGACGGGCCTCCATCAGCTCAGTTCTGCTGTACAAAACAACTTGGCCCTCATCGTCCTCCTCCCGACCTGCAGAGCTGGACGTTCCCGGCTGCTTGGTAGCATCGTCATACCAAGGTCCGGACCAAAGCCCTGGCTGAACTTCAAAAAAGTCATTGCTCAAGCACCATGCAATGGTCTTAGACTCCGTCGTGCCGTCAGGCCTCAGGAAAACTACCTCTTCCTCAGTATCATCAGACCCAAGCTCAAAAAGGTCATCGCTGAAGCCTCCTTCGCTCTCGCTATCCAGATCCAGCGACAGGCCCAGTCGTCGGTTGACACGCTCGAAGATAGCAATGCTCTTCTCCGTCGCCTTCGCGCTGCTCAAGGCCCACTTCTGCAGATCGTTGCCAGCACGTCTGCTGGTACCACGGCTTGAAAACTCAGGGCCCATCGTGGAGTCGATCTGAATGGCCGTAAAGAGAAGTTCGATCGCAAGTGGAGTGTCTCCGCGTTGCTTTGCGGCCTTTGCTTCCTCATGAGATCATCAGGGCGGCTGCGTCCAAAGCCAACCAAGTCCAGCGCCTTCTGAGCTCCACGCTTGCGCTGGGCCTTTCCTTTACCTTTCTGGAATGTCTGGGCGCCTGTGTACCTTTGCTCTCTTTGCACGCCTCCTTTGCTGCCCTTTCCCTTCGCAGAAGAAGCCATCATGCCTTCGCTCTCGTGAGAGTACCAACAGCTCTCTCCGCGCATACAAAAACCTGACGCCCAAAATCGGCATGGCTCGGTTCCCTTGCCAAGCCCACCTTTCGGCATGACACTTAGTAGAACGGCTTATCAACAGAGATCATTCTGTAGAAGAGCATGTAACCTGCTGCGCTCTGCATCCTGAGCTGCATCTATTTTTTTTTGCAAGTGTCACTGAATGCATGGCAGTCCTCCGGGGTATAGGCTCACACTCACATTCTCTTACATGGAGCTGGCTTTCATGGCTTTACAGGATGACGAAACTTGTTCGCTATCTGGACAAGTACTGCCAATGCTGTGGAATGCTACCTGCAAGCTGAGGCGGGCTTGGCAATCAGAGTGTGTCTTCAATGAACCTTCCACGAATTCCCCTGGCGTCCATCCACGGTCCTTCTGCCCTCGTCTTGTGAGGAAAGCCCGAGCATGCATTCATGAAAATTATACTTCTTCCTGCGCGCCACCTCTCGCACCGGTGCCTGATTGCAGCGCGACGCCAGCAATGAAGTATATCAAAGTCTGTTGCTTCTAGCGGTGGGGGGGGACTGGGTTTGTATTTGTTACTGCCTGATTGCTATAAAGCTGCGGATAAGGCTTCTCTTCAGGCTAGGGCTAACGCAGGTGAAGCGGGTTTACAATGCAAAAGCAATACAATGGGTAAACATGAGAGGAAAGATTGGGAGCGCTGTTCTGATTTCGGCTTCAAAGGCACTAGCAGAGCGCCACCACGGATGGTTGGGTTGGGTCGCGCTGGGGGATTCGAGTGCGTGCTCCAAATCAGTTCAAAAACCACGATAAAGATTGGCTACATGGGGGTACGCGAAAGTTCGCGGGCCCTTTACCTCGTATCTGCCATGAGAAATATTCTGCGACATAGGTTTTCAAGGTACTATCGATTTGGGCTTTGTTTTAAAGGATTAGGGTTGGAGTTGCAGGTGCCTCAACCCCTCGCCACACCTGCGTTGCCCGCGCTTCCCTTGAATTCCATGTACCCCATTGGTTATCCTACATATTCCAATAAGGAGCTTCTGAACAGAGGATAAGGGTGTGAGGACCACCTGCCGCACTGAAGGTGGTGGCTGCCATGCGCTTGTTCAAAGAGACTGTTGAGATATGTTGAGATGTGAATGTAACATTTCCTGGCAGGTACGCGCCCCCGTGCGGGGATTGGTGGTGCGTAGATGTTTGGCTTCCAATGCCAGGATTTGCAAGGGAAGCTCACGGAAGCTTGACCTGTGGAGTCAGGTAAAGGTGGCCTGCGGATGTAACGGCAGACACTGAGTGGGTTTTTTTTGCATGCGAGCATGACCATGTGCTTGCTGAACGCTGGCCGTCGAGATCCGACCGTTTGAGCCGACCAACGAGATCAGTGTCGACCTGTCACCAAATTCATGGTCATGACACTGCATAACTATACCTATGACGACATACTGGCAGCTGAAGGATTCTTCTGACGAGAAGCTTTGGCTATGCATCCCGGTGTCCCAGCTCTTGCCTGCACACAGCGGTCATCCCGTCTCTGGGGATTCTTTTCTAGCTGTCGCGCGCCGACAGCGAAACCTGATGCTCAGCAATAGCATCGTCGAAAGGGATTCCGGCGCTCCCGCGAGATTCACATCACAATGAACTGCCGTTGAGGAGCCTTATTGTCGGCATTGACATGCAGCTCATTCTTCTACGCTGTCCCTGCTTTGCCCCCGCGTACCGTAGCTGAAGGCTTCAGGAGAACTCTGAGAATCGCTTCCTCATACGAGCTAGCTAGGGCCTGGCGGACTGGAAACCAGCGGTTGAAGCCTCATCCGATGTGACGACCTCAACCCTGAAAACCTACGGCCCCATGCTAACCCGCTGTTCACTCACCTCCATAGACAGTGGCAGCAAGGAATCGACGTGTCTAAGCATGCGCTAAATCATCTGAGTTTTTGAGGCGCCAGCAACCTAGTCCTCAACAATCCTCAACAAGTATGCCTTTGGGGTGTGCGGTGTAAGCTCTGGCTACATTCTGTTGTTCTCACTGGCAAGAGGCACTACCACTTCAGCTTCTCCAGCCCGTGCGACGAGTAGGACCTGCATCGTGTCGCCACTACTACAGCAGCTCTGGCTGATTCGTGAGCAGACCCACACTGGTGCCATGTAACCTCTTCAACGTCTTCAAGCTGCTGCAAGTTCTTCAAATGATATTCTCGAAATCACAGATCGCAGCATGTGGGATACATGTAGGCAAGTCAAAGTTTGTTGGCCTACAATATGATCTTCAAGATCTTGTTGGGCGCTTATGTCAGAGACCCTTCGGCATCTCGGTGGGCAGCCTTGACTCCGGAATCCCCAAACTTGACTACTCCCATTATGGCTGCGGCCGTGCGAAAAGCACTTAGCAGCTACGACTGGGCAGCCAATCACTATAGCGTAGGACGTGCAATCTGCAGGCTGCAGCCTCCAGACCACACCCCCCACGATCCCGCCCATGACAAGCGCGAGCACAAGGACGGCTTGAAGCCTGCAAGCAGAAGAGGTAGCGAAGAAACCTATATAATTGGACCGAAACTTGAGGTATGTCTATGGAAAACAAGCATGGAATAAGTGTACAGGGGGCACTCAAGATGGCTTCAACAATTTTTTGAGATTGGAAAGTCGCTTGGCACAGACCCATCTGCGTGATACTCAAATGTTAGTCTACTACATGGCTGATCAGCTACTTGAATACCAGCACGACCGCCGGCACATGATGCAGTGCTGGAGCTTGGGTTGGCAATTGACATGCCCTGTCACGAAGGGCAACGCAAGAGGACAAAGGGCACTTGCTGCATGGCTGTTTGTTTATACATGGAACATGAACTCCAGGGCTGTCCTTCCAAGTTGTAAGAAGATGCTCGACGAGAGCTATAACGAGACTAGCCACGTACAAAAGCTTGCATTGGAAACCTCTTGTAATTCTATACATGTTCAGTCGCACACAGTCTGAGAAACACGCATCTACGAAGACCCGCCACGGAAGCAGGAATGAACATGTTGCTTGAATTCCTGGCCCTCTAGACGTCGTTCTTGTTCTGTCAGGTTTGCAGACATATCAAGGTCGATAGCATTCAATATAGATCCTTTCAAAAGCGAGAAAAACACCAAACTAAACTTGCACCCAATTCCAGTGGAGTCCCCAGGCAAGGCCGGAGAAACCCTCATGTCATCCTTGCTACCCTTATGCCAACTTACATAACTCTTCTCGATTCTGCTTCCATCGCCAGCCTGAGCTGTGACATGGACAGCGCTTCATCCTCCACACGCTGGGCGGGAAGGATGCCTTGGCCACAGTCTGTCAATCTTGGGATGGGCTTCCTGCAGAGATTAGCTGAGACCCTGTAAGAACACATACAGGGACTTGGAGTGTTGTTCTAAATCAAGGTACCGTGGCTCCCAAAACAATGAACCGCTTCCGCCTGGGCTTCCACACCCTTCCGCGCGCCGCAAGTTTTGCAAGGTTTTTCGTGAATTAACTTTGAAAAAGACCGCCCTAGAGGAAACCATATCGCTGGGGTTCTAGAAGGACAAACGCTTGTCTTGCTGCATTGGTAGGAAGACGGGGGGGTGTGCTGATTCTGTGGAAACAGGCTGAACTGAAGCAGTAGCAGGAAGAGCTGGCACGACTGACGTCCTGATCTGCTCATGCTGCGTGAATGTTTAGCCATCGCTTCTTTTGCACCTCTTCAGCACTGTTTCTACGCTTCTACCTGAGCCCAAGGCAGGCGATCAAAGCCAGCAGAATCAGCAGAGGCCTGGAAAGGTGACCCTGCTCGGGCTGTGGGCTGCAGCCCTGAAAGAAGAAACTCTCTGTCGCAGCCCTCTCATGTCTGCAAGTCGAAAATACGTATGCTTTACGGACAGCTGAGCTCCCGACCAGTATGCAAAGCAAATGACCGGAAACAGCATTCCCCCGACACACTTGAAGTCTCTTGCTGCCTGCGCCGTCAAAGCTGGATTGAATTTGATGCACGCCTAGTTTTAAGTCAACCCCTGCCAACTCAGTGGGAGAATGAAGCAACTTCTGCGCTGGTGGATTGATGCCTGACTGTCCAATCTGGGTTGGATTGGACTCTACACTTGAATCACATCCCCATGCCCCGGCCATCGTGAATCGTGAGGCAATTGTTATAAGGGCCAAGGGTAACTATCTCAGCAGACTTTCACGTGGCGTCCCACACATACAGAAGAGTTTCGGATCCACATACAAAAAAAGCCAGGTAAGGTCAAAGCAGTTCCAAGGACATCACAGTACGAGCTTGAAGACCGATAAACACCACGCTTCAAATGGGATCCCATGATCAATCACTGCCCACTTCAAGTCAGGGGCTTGTGGGGGCATCTGCTGGGAGATTCAAGCAAGAAACGTGCTGTTGCTGACAGGTGGCTCATAGCAGTAGTCCAGAGTTGGATCCGAAACCCTGAACTCCACAGGGCTCGAGACTACCCCTGCATCTCCTTCGACTGTTTAGCAGGACTGCCTCATAGAGCAGGAGCAGCATGTCACTGCGGAAGGCTTGCGCAAGCTGCCCCTGCCACTTTTGTGCAACCCGGTGGGGGGCATGGGTCTTAGGCGACAAAGTCTGTGTGCTTGCGTAGAGCTTTTAAAATTCAGGGCACAGAACCTAGCAACTGTTAAGACTCACCCTCATGCTGCACAAATCAACAAAAGGCGGCAGCGTCTAGACGCGCTGTCTTACTGCAGATCTCCTTTGCAATAAGAAAGAGGCTGACGTAGAACAATCGTTTGGTTGAACAATTGGCGCTGGGGGGTTGCAGCTTGAGTGGCTCCTGGGGAGGGTAACAAGAATGGCACGAGTAGAGCCAGCCACCTGCTGCAGCCATTGTACCAGCTGGCGAGGCCTTTGCTTTGGCTGGCTGCTGTGGTTCAGGTCTCAATTGGAAATTCTGGAATCTAGTGCATGGGGCCGGGATTTTGGTCCACATGTTGGGGGGATTTGAAACCCAACATGGATTCATGGAACCTGGCTCATGGGTTCCAACATGATTGCGTGTACATTGCAAGGTATGGGGCAGGCCTGCATTTCTGTCGGAAGTTGTCGGATACAGGAGCGGAAGGCAAAGGTGCGCACACGCTCTCTTCCAGTGCTACACAAAGCTTCTCCACGCAAGATTTCAACAAGTATATCACGCAGGATTGGGCAACGCCGCTCACACTTCTTTCTCTTCTCAGCACTGGAAGAGCCGTAGCAGTTCACGTTCCAAGTTGAGCAAAAGGCTCGAATGGACTGAACGCTGCCCAGCAATCAATTAGTTGTACTGTAATAATGAAAACACCACTAGCAGGAAGATGCTGCTTGATCGTCACAAATGAACAAGACAACAGGGACAGCGGGACGATGACTATGACAGGTGAAGGGCACCAGACATGTAGCAGTCATTAGCCGTTGATCAGAGTGACTATGCTATTTTATCCGTCCTACTTTCGAAAAATGTGAAAAGCAGCAACCATTACAACGCTATGCGGTTTGCTCGTCCCTTGGGCGGTGTCTTTCACAGATCTTCCGTTATCCCACTCCACTGTCCAACCATCCATATCAAACAATATCAAACAATCCGAACAGGCGTCCTCTTCTCTACTGACCCCTGAGACTGCAACAAATACTTCTGCGCTTCATGTGGCACTGCAGGCACAAGAGTCCTGGCACGTCGCCGCAGAGCTTTGTTGGTGGAAAGTAGTTTGGAGGAGCAGGAGACAGTCTGAACTTCAAATCAGATCTCTACTTGGTGTCTCTAGATACCAAGCTACTTTTCCTCAAGAATCCAAGAAATGTATACGACCTAGGGATGCTATGCGGGCAAGTGCAACCAGCCACCGCCTCTCGTAGAAGTGCAGCATCGAATCCTTTTAAGCGCAAAGCCCATCTAAGCCATGCACTGCGCTTCCACAATCTGACGCGAGCTATCGTTTCAACACAAATTCGAGTGCAAAGCTGATCCCAAAAAGAAGCAAAACGCCCTTTGTCCCTCAGCTAATGGAGAGCATGGTCCACATAGCAGTGGAGCTGGCTCTTGACTTCTAAAACACTTCAAGCAACCCTCGCTAGCTGAGTAAGCGACGCCAACCAGCTTCGGCACATCCCCAAACAACGCGGCGCGCCTGAAACCCAGTGATGGGAAGTCTTTGGCAGGTACAGTATGAGGCTTGGCATGGACGTCTCAGCGTTTGTCAGGGCTTCGAAAAGCCACATGTCGGTCTTGTCGCTGCTTGTCATCTCATGCCACTGTGAGCCGCCGGCACAGTTGGTGGCGCCGCGAGCAAGAATGCATTGCCTTTGGCCACATCAGCCAGCACACAGCTTCCAAACTTTGTGGCTATGATAAATCATATTTTCTAGCAATCTTCACAGCCTGGCCCCGTGACTACTGGATTCTGAGTTGCGCATGTGGAGTGAAGTGCGAATAGATTTGCACCGTCAGAGTTCCGGCACCTGCAAGGAAGGCGAGGATCAGGGTAGACCGAAGTGGTCTTCTGCGGAGGTTCACTGGCCTTCCGCAGCTCCAGCAAACAATGAGGTAGTGGGGGCTTTGAGAATGAGAGTGCTCTTCTTGTGACGTTCTGTAGCGTCAAGTACGCGAAGTCCTGGCCTTTGCTTTACGCCATTCTGATGAGTATGAAGACCTGGACTGTGGCATACTGGCTGGTAAGATACCTCCACCCCTCTGTTAAGTCCAAGTTTCACCCTAGCACGGGGATGGGGAACAAAAAACTCCAACACTGTCTCTACTGGTATCACGCGTGAGCGACAGCGTAATGGAAACTTGCCTGCTGAAGAGCAAGGAAACATTCAAGCCCTGGTTGAAATACTCAGTTCATAGCACATCCGTCCCGATGACCCAGTATAAGAAACCTAGTATGAACGGGTGTCAGGAAGCTCGTCTTGCTTTCCTCTGAATCTGAAAAGCAGCTTTAAGAAGGACCTCTCATCCCCCCACAATCCAGGTAAATTGAAATGCGCATACAACCCATCTGATTCTCATGAGCAGAAGCTCAGCCCAAGGATCGTGTGACCCGAGGCGCAAACCTTACCAACACCAGCGCTGGCACCTGCAAGGCAAATCCAAAGAAGAGGGCGATCAGAAGAGGATAAATTTTTAGAAGCCAAGAAATACGCGCGAGTTCCCAGGAATGTAGAAGGCATAAATGGAAACTACAGGGTTCTTTCTGAAACCTCCACATAAGGTGGCAAGGGTTCATCTCCCTGCAGGCATCCTGCACAAAATGCAACGTCCTGCCAGAAGACCCCAACAAGTGGCCACCCTTCTAAGCGAGTGTACAGCATGAAGGTTCCCAAAGCAGCCACCCCAAGCAATCTCCGGGACATATAGCGAGTCAAACAACATCATAGGGAGTCCGCTTGGATCGTCTGGATAGCGCTTACGATCAAAAAATTGCACCTGCCTCTCTCTAAAGATCCAGCCGCAACTTTCTTACAAGGGCAGCTTTGATTCTAAAACCCATGGGAAACTCCATGCCAAGCGAGCCGGCTGCACGCAGACTATCGTCAGTGGCATGGCTAAAGCCCAGGAATAGATTGTCACAGGGGCAAGCACTGCCAGGAGCCTGGCTTTGGGTTCAGGGTTTGGGGGTCTTCGGGCTTTAGGGTTTGAGGGTTTAGGGTTTAGCAAGGCGTTAGGGTTTAGGTTTAGTAGGATGCCAGGGATAGTTTTAGATTCAGATTGGTAACCCCCAGATTCTGTAGAACCTTTTGAGATCCCTTTACTGACAAGGAATGCGGGCTTAGTACTCAGGAACCCTTGGCGTTGTATGTCGTATGATTCGAGTGTTCTGACCAGACGGTCAGGGTTCATGTTGAGCATTGAAGTCTTAAACTCTCTCGAATAGTCAAGAATGTATGTGCGGCAAAGGAGTAGGATTAGGCTGCCACAGGGCACCCTGGCTTGGAACTCCCTATCTTGAGAAGTCTGCCTTGGGCAGCACATGTTCATCGTAGCCCATACTTATGTTACTGGCTAAGCTTCCAAACAAATGCAGCTGGAGCACGCGAATCCGCACGCCACGCGTACCTCAAAGCTGCGCTTTACAAACAGGGCCCCGGTCAAAAAAAAGAGACTTGTCCATGTGAACTTCCAACACTACTGTAATTGTCTCAACTTGCCTGTATATAGACTGCAGTGAAAGCGCATGCGCGCGGCATCTCTGCGAGCGCGAAAAATTTGGTCTTATCAATTCGAAAGCATCAATGTCATTGCTCCGATCGCTACTCCGCCACTGTTCTTACCGTTGCTCGGTTGGTTTGCCAGGTGCGCGGCAGACTCCCAGAGTGGACACGGCAGCCGCACCCCGCCGGACTTGACAGTGTGCCCTGGCTTCTGCATCGAAAAAGAGTCATTGTGGTTCCTGTGGTCTGATACGGCAACAACCAAAGCTCCTGATGGAAGTCCCCTGTAGCAAGCGAATCCCTGAGCCTTCAGGTGAGTAGCGTTTTCCTTGGTGGTTGAACCTAGTAAGATTATGTTCGTCACATGAAATACTAGACCCAAACGGAGGATGTAATCTTTCTCTATATTGGGCACCATGGCATCCCCAAGTAAAAATACTGCTCAGGTGACCTTCATGGTTCAAATCACGCGCTGTGGCTGTCTCATATCCCTTGCTGCTACCACTGTTGAGCTCACACCTGGATGTGTAGTAATGCAGCTAGGCCCCTTATTTCTAAGTTGAAAAGTTCCTGTCGTAACCGCTAAAACATCATACATTTGTTCACAGCTTCGCAATATGACTTCAAAAAGCTGTTTTACCTCGATATGATTCTACCTCGGCTGTTGTGGTGACATGAGAGGCATCTTCAACTGTCGCTTCAAGACCAGAGTCCAGGACTGCTGCTCATGCTACAAGTAAGATACCCTGAGCTTCAAGATAGCTGGAAGATGTGCAGTTCAGGACCACGGTTTCACTAATGGCTGGGACCAGTACATGGGGTTGCAAAGGAAGGGTCCATCATGCAAGCCTTCACCTTCAGCAGAGAAGACGGAGAAGGCATACTGGCGAAGAGCCAGAGCCGCAACGGCTGACACACCAGCTCCTGCGTTAGGGGTGGGAAGATTTTGACCGCTGCTCTTGGAGAAGCACTCGCGCCTGCTCGTTCAAACGCGGGCTGAAAACGAGTGGCATTCTTTAAACGAAGCAGCCACGAAGGAGTCTTAGGCAAAGCCCTGGACAATAGGACTCAATAGGATCCTTCGGTGCAGAAGCTACGTGTAGTTCCAACATAGTACAAGCGCGCGAGGAGAAGCACTTGCATGCCGACAAAAGAACTGATAGGCTGGACTCAAGCGCCTGCCATAACCCACATGCCCGCCATTTGCCGGCGTTGGAGCTCAGCCTCACCGTCAAAGCGTTGGGTGCACTCACCCGCTCACAGTCACGCTGGATTGCCTGCTGTATCTGCTGTTGTCGGAATCTCCCGCTTGCACAGCTTGCACAGAGTTCAGAACTTAGCCAGCGCTGCCAGCAGCTCCAACCATCTCCAACCCACTCATGGAATGTCGACTCATGAGCGATGAGCGTATTGAGCGTGAGCAGATGTGAGTAGCTGCTTACTACTGGCCCTGAGCGTCGCTAAGCTTGTAGATAAACGTTGTACCCACTATGCTCAGGAGCTCCTACAGTAGCACAGCTTAGGTCACGGCCTCGGGGGTTGTGGTAGGGCGAACGCACGCCAGTCGCTCTGGCGATGGAAAACTGGCCAGCAAGTCGCAAGCTTTCAGAAAGGCTCACTGTGAGGACGTGCGCAAAAAAGAAGTGCTTTTAAAAGAAGGAGCTGCTCCGCACTATCAATCTGAAACGCGCGCGCTGCTCTCCCAAAGAAATTGCGAGGGCCTCTGCACGACCATCTCGTCATTCATAGCCAATGCAAACATCACGCTTCCAGATACCTGCGGCAGCATGTGGTTGCCAGGCAAAGCAGGCAGCTGCAGAGGTTGGCCAGAAGTATGAGCGGGTGTTTGGGCGCACGCCAGCGATGGCGGCGACGACACCCAGACCCACGAGCAAAGACCGAATGTCGCGGTAAGCCGGCGTGGTCCTTCAGGGCAGAGGAGTTTGGCTTCAACGAATGGAGACGTCACATGATCACAACCCGGTGAGTTGCTGCGGTCCCCAGGAAACTGATGAGGAGCAGGTGCATGGCAAAGACTGGATAGAGGTAGAGCCTGAACAAATAAGGCATGCCTGAGAGCCCCTGACACGCGCAAGTTGGCTGACTGAGGTCCCGTCCCGTTGGAAATGTGGCTGTTTGGGCCGGTGAAAAAATAGAAGTTGAAGGAATGGTGGAGCTGCTGCAGAGCATTGCTCATGCACCTTGCACGGATGTGGGCAGAGCCTACTTGACGAATCGTCCAGTGGATGGGGCTGGAGATCGTACCAATGCCAGATGCCAGAGGATAACAAAGCCTTTGCAACCGTGACCCCGTGGCCTGACCACACTCTCGATGGACATCGCCAGCGCATCCACACTGCAGCGTGACAGAACCAAAGGCAGCTCAGTCACCACCTGACTGCTTGCTAGGGAGAACAAGCGTGACCTGAGGCATCGGCTTTAGATGCGCAGAGCGGTCGCTCTTTGCTGACCTTATTGAAGCCCAGCACCATGAAACTTCATGGAACCTCTTTGTGAAATGGACTCCAAATCCACACAAAACGGGTGAGGTCAAACTCAGCTCCCCGCGTGCCCCGGATTGTAAAGGCCGGAACCTGACAGAAAGCGCCCAAAAACAGCCCACGCTCGAGAAGAGTGTCAACGTTATACGGAAATATGGCATGGGGCCTGTAATTCCAAAAACGGTGCGTGACCTTACGCAGCGCATGCAGCGCCAAGATAGTTGTATCCAAGATGGCCAGAATACGATGTCCCAAGGCCAGGGCTGCTGTGCACTCCGCCGTTCCTGCCAAAAACACCAAGCAAGTGATCTTTAAGTTCCCCTGTGTGCTTCAAATCATGGAGATTCCGATCCAATGGACTGGACACATCACTTTCAAGCCTGAATCCAGGAACCAAGCCCTCCTGAAATCTCTTGAAGTTGATTCTGAAAGCTTTTTACGTTCCGAAACAGTCCACCTGAAGGCCTAACAGATGGTGCAGTGGGAATGAAGCTTCAAGGCGAAACCCGAACCGCCTGCACAAGGCCTACCCAACACAGACCCAACACAGATTTGATTCATGTGTAATAGGACTCCAACAAGATAGACTGAGAAATTTCCCTGTTCCTTCTACCAATCCCAGCGCCTCGCATGGTGCATCACAGAGTCCCAGGCATCTCTGTGGCGCACGATGAGGCCCGCGCGCTCCTCGACAATCTGGGGCGCACAAGCTCTTGTAATATTGTAAGCATTTTGTCGAGGTTGTAGAAGCTGAGGGTTTTCACTCTACGGAGATTGCGCTCACCTATAGCTTGCCCTTCCCAACGGTGGCAACTTGTTCGACCCTTTCGGTTGAAATGCGATTTAATTTCAAATCTGCGTCGGACGAAACCACGATTTAAAAAAGGGCACACAACTGCATCCTCTTGATCTGGAACTCTGCATAACTTTGCCTTATGCTCGATTGCACAAAGCCTGTGCAAGCTGAGGGTTGTCCGGCCTCTGAGTATCCACAGTTTACCCGGGCAGATGCACAAGTACAATTGAGGACCCTGCACGCGAAGCTATCGAGTAGGTGTTGACCAGGTCCTCAAGCAAACAAGCTGGCTGCCACACGCCTTACACCCTCTATGTAGGAAAACTAGCTTGGGAAACTGCTTCTGAAAGAAACCAGCGAAATCGGGCTTCCATACGGATTCCCAAAAACAAAGATGCCTTGCATGAGTGTCCTGCACTCCCAACCCCAAATTCTGGAGCTCGCGCGTCTCTGTCGCAAGGCAAACCCATGACTGCGAACCCTGGCCAAAACTGGACTGAAATGCAAAACGCCTGATTGGGGACCATCCCATTGATGCCCTCCACATCGAGCAGGAGAGATGTGGCCTCTGCGAAGCTCTTGCGAACTTGTAAGGGATAGTCCTGGCTGACTGAGGAAGTGCTGTTCGATGAGGACGTGTTGGCGTAGCAACTTGCAAAATGGGGAGGGTGCCCACCAGGCATCCACTGTGAGACGGGAGGTGCCATAGTGAGCTAGATGGAGCAGCGTAAAGCCATCCGAATGTCTTCAGAACCTCAGGAAGATTAGTAGAGTACAATCTAAGTAATATACCGAGCATTTTGGAACGCGATGTGAATGTCAATCTGTGGGGATCATACTAGCATTTCTTCAGCTATGGGGTTACGTTGGAGTCCGGCGGAACTGAGAAGACAGCTCCTCACAACTAGGTAAGAACGGATGAAGCACTGTCGCAACCGCATTTGCACACATGTCTGCACCGCGGAGCTTCTCCAGATGTTATGAACCCTGGCCCTGCTATACATGCAGGAAACTGAGGGCACAGCCCCGTTTCGCACCTGGAGGACAACCGCCTGCCATTATGGGCCGTCCCTCACTTTAGCCTTTAGTCGCTGAATATTCTACTGCCTGATTCACAAGCCACGGTTGTTGTGGAGTTGAGCGACGCTCTCCATATTGGCTCTTGGGTCACATCCGGGTATACACCGCCTACAACAGACATTGCTTCGTTAATACTCTCCAGCATCAACAGCCCCCAATCTTTATATGCGCTTGAGGTTCAAAATAATTTCCGGAAAGAGAATGTAGCCTGTAAGGGGCAACCAAGGTGTCTTGCCCTTTGGTTTCCTTAATGAAAGCGCCTTGCGTTCAACATACGTACAACTCCTAGCTCGGACACACGTGGAATGCAGGCTTCGCACCGATGCCAAACACAGATTGGAGGAAGGCACAATACCCTGAAAAGTGCCGAGCCTCAGGAAGCTGCTTCTTTCACGAAAATGCCAACGCAACAGACAACAAAGACTAATCATACATCAACACTAATATGATGTAGCTCCTACAGCGGGCCTGGCGCAGCGCCCCACGCCGGAGCTCGGAGTGACCGCCGATGTAGGCTCTGAGCCATGCCTCCCGGGTAGCAAAGCTTATGCAAGCTTTGTTAGGGTTCGTGTTGGGGTCAAGTAGGCTTTTCGTGGGGGGCATATGAGGAGCATATTGATACTTTCAGGAGGATTAGGCTGTCGACTGCAGGTTGAGGGCTTAGAGTTTAAAAAACTGGAGGTGGGAGATCTCTCTTGGCCGCAGCCGCTGTTGTCTGTAGCTGAGGTTGCTCAGCTGAATGGATGCTAACTCGTTGTGAAAACTTGCACAGTGCTATCATCTTCCTCACGCCTCGAGCCCTGAGGCAACGTCAACTCTTTCAAATGCAATCTCTTTGCATAGCTTCGAAAGGACCATGCCTTTGAGAAACCCCAAGCCCTCGACCTAGACCGTCCCAAAGCCCAATCCACGAAGCCTACACAATGCCCTATCATCACTTGCGAATCCTTATAGACCGGCCGGCCCAGGTGAGAGGGCTCCCTCCGAGCTCCTGGCGCGGGCACCTGCCCCGTACGCCAGGTTGCTGTCCACGAAGACCACTAGGACGTCACGTGACAGCCAGTGCACAGTCCTTTCTCTCTTTGTCTGAAGAGAATTCCCTCTCTGCAGGTTTCGGCTATTGGATGGTTTGGAGTGGACCTTTTCAATCAATGCCACTATTGAACAATGGTCTGGACGGCCCTAGCCTGTTCCATAGGAATCGCTATGAAATCTTGTGAGTGTCATGAAATGTTATGAACAAGTTCCAGGAGGAGCCTTGCCTGAAGTAGCGCGCCAAGGTCACGCCGATGCCAATGCCCCAGGAAGACTTGGCCTCAGAACTTGGTTCAGAAGCAGAACAGCCCTTATTGAGATCTGTTGCGTCACACCTTAGCAGAAGCCTCAGAAAGCCTGTTAAGGGTTGCAGGCATTGGCACTGATGACTTCATTGATACACCATGGAAAACACATCACTACTTGATAAAGGTCACTTGTTGCCAGGTTTATCTGCCGTTGCTCAACATTGGAGTTTCTACACACCAAACCAGAAGGGAAACCCTATTGTGATGAACCCCGGACAAGGCCCATCATTGAGAAACAGCAAGACCCTATAATCCCAACAACCTTAGTTCTTCTCCCCGGAATCTTTAGCACGAGTCCAACCTCTCCATTACTATTGCCAAGAAACCGAGATTTAAATCATACTCCTAAACTGTCCCTGCATCTGACCCATCTAACCCGCTAGGGCTGGAGCTGGACTTCTCTTCATAGTCCAGTTAGAGGCGATCATCTCAGCAAGCATGGCAGTAAAGTATCGCAGGATCTTTGAAGGATGAGGGTTTGGATTGGGGCCGGGGCTTTGCTTCATTAGGGTTTGGCTGCTGGGTTTTGAACGGAGAGGAGCACTGTAACCTCAGGGATGCTACGAGAACAGGATAATGCAAGGAAGGGAAGAGAGAAAATTTGTGGAATAACATGGCCGGACAACTAGAAGACTTGGCAGACGTCATTTGGAGATTGTTGCTTTTGTTCCTTGCCGGGAGGGACTGCCCATGCCTCTAGATTGGATCGTAGACAATGGCTTCATTCATGGCGGACTTGAGTGGAATCGTGAGAATCCGAAAGCCTTCTGGTTTCCTTTCGCAAAAGCAGGCAAACGGCAAACAGCTTCAACATGTCTGTTGTAGGCTTTCACTGCGGCATTACTGGAGTGCGTGAAGGTGTCTAACACATGCATACGCGGGACTGCCGACTGTAGATTTGAGCGCTGTAGCTTCTGCTTAACTCCACGGCCGCTTTGACCTCGACGGCATCACCACAGCAGCAGGGGCAGCAGCTTCGGCAGCAGCAGCGCTCTCACAGTACAAGCAGCACTACAGAAAAACCTGATCTCTAATGCTACTGCATACATATGCAGGTGCATGCGGCATGTAATACATGCTCTGACCAGTATACTACAAGCAGCAGAGAGAGTTGTAGGGGCCCCACAAGCACTAGGGCCTCACGAGAGTCGCCGCGCCGCGACTCAGCTACGGTGTACCTTCCAGCACGGCAAAGGCATGCTTACCCACCCATAAGTGTGGATAACATCGGGACCAAACAGAACGAAAGAAGGTTTTGGGATGGCTTCTAGATTCCAGTCAAGTAGAAGGAAAGGTATCAAATGTTTTGCTGGCTCCTCCAGTTGGAAATTTTGTCAGAGCCCGCCCAAGGTAGTCCCTCAATCTCAGGATTCCTCATACAACAACGCGGCTACACTGGAATCACTGGAACACTTCCATTGGCCATATCAAAATTATCTGAATCTATCCGTATCCTTGGCCAGGGTGCCTTGCGCTGCTACGGCCTTCCCTTCTGGCGCCTCCTCCTCCTCTTTCCTCCTCGTGCACCACTGCCACAAACACCTCAAGAACCGCCTTTATTACGTTCATGGCAGACCCTATACCCTGCTGACACGCTCGCTACTGGCTGCAATTTCTGTGGAACCTCTTCTGCTTTTTGCGTTTGCGGAAGCACTGCAAATTCCAGCGCAGAAAGCATCGCAGGACAGAGAACTGGCATGAGGGCACATGAGGGAGCTTTCTCCCCCATCCGGCAGCGTGAAGTTCATGTGGTAGGGCTGCAGTCCTGCCTTGTCACGTCGACTCAGGCATGTGCCAGCATCAAAAAAATTCAGTGTAAAACCAGCTCACAAAAAAAAGATCACAAGTTAAGATTGAGAGTTACACACACCCATGTGGCGAGTACACTGCTGGCAGTACCGCACAGACTGCTTGGCGTAGAGTCTGGCTTAGAGTCTGGCTTGAGACCATCCAATAAAGCTATCGATTGTAGGCAAGCCATACTGGTGGAGCTTCGAATGCCTTTGCCGGACCCAGCCTTCGTCAAAGACACCTGGATAGCGGTCCGAATGTCGGACTCTGCCTTCATGGCGCAGTTATCGGGACGTGAGGAAGTAAATCTGGCAATGGTTCATGAAAGTCTGCGTCTGCATGACCACCGCGTGAAATACCCGACTTAGAGACCTCAGAACGTCGTGATTAACATCTCAAAGCTGCTATAAGAATGCCTTTTGCCTAGGGTGTACCACTCGAAGACATCACTCAAAGCTGAGCAAGGGCCAAAGTCACATGCTCCAAGGAGGAAGAGCGATGACGCTGCTGCTGGAAGAACTGCTGCAAGTCCCCAACTACACCAGTTACGGAAGTTCCTCAAACTTCAGGTATATATGTGGTCATAGCTTGTATAAGACTTCCTCCCTTTCGTATTCACGACCAGCCCATCAGATTGTCCGTGGCCCCGTATGGCCTCAATCTGCGCAATGCACTCGCGCAGCCGACCCTGCGACAGAACTGTGAGCTGAAGGCAACGCCCTCTGCCAAAGATGCAAAAGACCCGACGTCCCCTTCATTCTGATTGCAACATGAACAGATGCCAAGGCTGCAGAGTTTGCCGAACCATCATGTTTCTTGGGCTGCAACAGCTGCAGGCGGCACTATATGATCCGAAAGAGGGCACTGCCTGCCACCTCGCCTAGTCTGCAGCCTGCCAGGGACTCAAGAATCTAGGAATACCTGACCTCCCCGATGGCCTGCCATTTTGCATCCAGGCCATTGTTTGCATAGCCAGGAATGAGGCCATGCTCCTGGAATGAAAAATAGACATCACTTCGCACGGCGACGCTGGCAACTATCGTCAGGCTTATGACTAGGAAACGCTACAGGAGCTCACAAGGTTTGGAAAGAGCTGTTCGGCGACGCACATATGCTGAACATGCCCCCATGATCCCCCAATAGGCGGACATGCGGACACCTCATTTGTGTAACTAGAGCGTGCATCTCTGTGAGCGCTCCTCGACTTCCGTCCTGGCGGGAACCATGCTTGCAAGCAGTCTACATTCAGAAACAAGCCTAAGGCTTACGGTTGAAGGTCCTGCGATCGAAGCTCGGAAAAATGGCCACCACGATTAAGGCAGCCACGAACAAGGCGCTGGTCAGGATCTGGTGGTGATTTGCAATCCTGGCATAAGCGAGCGAGTTGGGCGGCCTCCGTGGCTGAGCCACACACTGAAATAATTTGCGGTGCCCCCCTTTCCTTGATATAAACCTGCCCTAGTACAACGCCCAAGCAGTGCATACATCGCGCGGTGGCCTTTGGCCAATCACCACTGCCAGCGACATGATGGCTTATCCAGCGGCACTGAATTCAAAGGAGCGCCATGGCTAAGAAGTACAGATGACCGTCTTGGTAGAGTCTTGGCATGTCCTGGTCATGCTTGGCATTGGATTAGCTGTTTGTCCAAGCGCTTCTGGGCCATTTCTTGGGGGTGGTTGTAAGGAGACCTTCTCGGCTGAGAGGGCGCCCAAGGCAAAGAAGATCATCGTGTATAACAGTCATGTCATGCCACAAACAAGGACTTGTGTCATTCAGTACCAAAAGTGTTGAAGTGGCTCAGACAATGGGAAAGTCTCTACAACAAGTCAAGAGCGGTCTAAAGACTCAGGAATGAAAGCAAACGAACAGTGCAACGAGTTTTGATGCAGGCTCCGGCAGTTGGGTTCTTCCCAACTTCGAGAAACCCGTTTAGCTGCTTGCATGCTCGCGTGCAATCTTTGCACTGTGTCGAGCCCAGGCATGTGGCCACTTGAAGCAGAGCGAATCCTGACAACTGCCTCTTTATGTGCAGTGGATGGCAGGGAATTTGTCCGATCCGTGCATTCAAGCAATGCCGCACATTGGGAAAATGGACTTGAAACGAGCATGCCATTTGTGAGACCAGAGCTCCTCTCAGAAATCCAGATCATCTTCGGGAGGTGGCGGCGGAGGCGGGGGGTTGGCTGGACCCTGAGCTGCCGGCTCCCTTAGTAAGTACAGCAAATCTGCTGGGAAGATAAATTTGTGCCGTCAACAAGCCAACTAACCCGACACGTGCGCTCCCGGCAACCCCAGTATGAGTGAGAGGCTGGACCGTTTACGGCCAGCTCATGTCCGGGGCGTAAGGAAGGCCCACCCATACTCCAGAATCAAGGTGCAGCTCTGCGTGACAAGAAAAGTCTGGCCCAAGGAACATGATCCAAACTTCTGAAGACCATTCTCAGCTGCTGAGCCATGCACTCTTCAACTTCCAGCTTCTCGCGCTTAACCAGAAACGCCTGGCACAGGCTGCTGCTCATCTGGCCACGACTCTGTGGTTGTTGTTTCCTCGTCAATTTGCTGGATCAACCTCTTTGGATGCAATTCACCTTTTGACAAACATGACGGACCGAAAGACTGATCGTTGGACTGCGACTGCATGTGTACAGCTTTCTGTTATATCTCTCTTTTAGGCCACTAACTGCAAGAATTGGCAGGTGCTTCGACGCCGCAGAGGGCCACACCAAGGGAAAAAAACTCCGTGCTTCTGATTCCTGGCCTCAAGGATCAGCCAGGATGAAGGCTGAAAGCTGGAAAATGCAGCATTTTGTGGAAGTAGATGATTTGTGTACTGGGGACATTGCCGTGGATCCACCGGCCAGTGTCTTCTCTTCGCGTGAGGCATCATAGAGTGCTGCACCAAAAACCCACACAAATTTGAAGTCCAAAATTTGGACACTCGTGTTGGGAGCCTTTGCCACTAATAGGGCCGCCGCCGCCGCCGCCGCCAC